CAGCTACTTCACCGATATTGTCTGCTCCTTCACATCCTTCATGATCATGTCTTACTACATAATCTTCATCTGTGTGTCCTTAGCCATAACCCCGCTCCCTTGTTCTTCATATCAATGACTCCTTTTTGAAAGACTACTCTGCTATTTTTGCCAATCCTCTCTGCTGTTGAAAAGCATTTCTTTTTCTCTTTAATGTATTTGGACCCTATCTCCCGTGCATCCCAATTCCCACTTATACTTTTTCTCCCACTTTTATTTAAATTTTCAAAAAAATAGATATGTAATTTCATTCAAAGAAGTGTCAAACTTTGTGTCTAAAGCAGAGGGGAAATGGGTTATGTGGGTTACCTTGGTCCAAAACGTTTATACATCTGATGGATAAGTCACAGATCAGGAATAGGTGCCTGTCACTGACAATAATGACTTGGATTAAAATTTTCTGTGCAGTTAGACATCTCCTGTTAAACTGATGTTATACTTCTGCCATACTTGTTTATGGGTTTAACACAATAACTACATGACAACCTGAATCAGCCCACAGAAAACTAATATTCCTCTTTAGATGCCTGATTTATTTTTATATCAGTTTTTGAATTGTAGTTATTTTAGATAAATAAGTTGAGTTGTCTCTTTTTCTCAGAATGTAGTCCTCAGGTATGTTCCTTTTGGGACAAGGTATTACCCACACAGTATTGGAACTTCTTCTATCCACACAGCCTGCTGCACCTTTTGTAATAAATAGCTAGCGCCTGAGCTAGAATTCTTCTCGCATGGAAGTTTTTGCTTGATTTGGTAGTATTCTTGTCTGTGAGTCAGAATTCTATGAGCTCAAATTCCAAAACAAGCTTAAACATATGAGCTTGGCAGGGTAAATGCTGCATTGTCTTCTGGGTAAAATTTAAACTGAGGCTTCAAAGGATTTAAAGAAAATTCAAAGCTAAACAGGGAGTTCTGTGGGCATCATGGTTGATAATTCTCCTTCAATTAACCACCATAAACAAGTTATCTGTTAATATTCTTTTTTGTTTTCTGGACCTTTGTTTTGTGCAGATTGACTGTCATGTATGACTACAAAATACCAGTAACAGCATTTCAAATGTCATGAGTTGATTGTGGAGTACTGTTAACTTGGTTGGCTGGAGGGCAATGTATAAGAGTCCAAAATTCAAGGAGTACAAATATCTCTCAGGATTGAGAGGATGAAGGATATTGGTGATATGGAGGAGCAAAGTCGTGGAAGAATTTTCAAGTGACAATAAGAACCAAATGCTGACTAACTGGCGTTCTGTTATTCAAAATACAGTGTAGGAGGTGGAAAATTCACATTTACTGTTTTACTGTTGACTTCTGAAATTAGAGGTTAGGACGTAATTTTTGAATAGATACAATAAGCTTTATTTTGCATTTGGGAGTTCCTAACTTGAATATTGGGTTACCAAAATAGAAAGTGTAATCCAGAGTAATTTAATAAACTAATCATGTATAGATATTTATAATTTTAGCTCAAACCAGTAAATCCTCTACCTTGTTACTGGATCACTAACTAGCAAAGTCTCAAGAATAAAAATAGAAAACAGTATTATGAATGGATCCTGCAGCTGATATTAGTCATTTTTAAGGGATTGGATATGAATGTATTATGTGGTTCTTGGAAAAGTATTTGTACAGACCCTGAACCGCTATGATACTTATATAAAAACAGAACTCTTTTGGATTGTTTGTAAATAGATGTCATGCCCTTGTAACTGCTGCTCGTGTTAAATGGAGCTTCTGTCCTTGTGGAGAATGATCCGAGCTGCATATTGGCGTTTGGCGCTGTTAATTTGTACTTTTCTTTTTAATGGACCACTATTCCTGAAAGAACACATCTGTATGAAATCATATTCTGGACCAACAGTATTGTACCACGAGCATCTTTTCTTGATAAATTGCACGTGATCGGACAACAGCCTGGAAGAAACCATGCAGGTCTTGTTCCAGCTTAAACAACATAACGCACAGCAACAGTACAGAAATATTTAAGGATGTGACATTCAACAATGAAATTTTGAAGGGAGTTGTTGGTGATTTGGTATATATGAGGTTCTGACTGATTGTGTTCAGAGATAGCATTGCTGAGTGTTAAATCTTGTGTAGAATTCAAGAGTAAATTCCTAGGCAGTTTCAGTCATTGAGAAACAGACTTTTTACAGTCATTTCTAAGATTTGATCATAGAAGATCTTCTAACTCTGAACTGACAGGAAGGACAGTTATGAGTGCCATGTCACATTTGATAATTTTGCTGAGATCATCCACTAATTTGATCTTAAATAGTCAACCCGACCAAATCTGTGTTTCATCCATCAGAGGTAGATGCTCTGGTTTGTGGAAAGCTTCTATATTAAAACCCTCAATGAAAGTGCCTTGTCCAGTGGTGACTGTTTGGATGTGGTATTTATGTTTGAGCTCATCAGCTATCTACTGAGACAAAGCACTTGCCTTTTGAAAAAGTTCACTGAGCATTGTTCAAGCCTATCATTCCCTTTGGTAGGACATTTAGTTGGTAAGTATGTGGGTTTCTTTAACTGAGCAGAGTTTTTTTTCATAAATATATGGAAGTACATGTACAGAAATGTGTGTCTGTGATGCTTGTTTAAATGGATTGTCTTGTGTTTTGTTGGTCCATGAAATTAATTGTGTAAATTTGTTGTTCACATCGCTTTGCATTTGGGGGTTATGGAAGGGCAAAGCAAAATGAATTCTCCATATAAAGAAAGCAAGTATTCTGGCTTCTAAAGAGCCTCAAAATGTTGCGCTGATCAAAACAAATGTCTTCAAAAATTCTTCTACCCATCCTATTCCTACCCAACAATCCCACTCACACACGCACACAGACTCTCTCTCAAGTGGAGGAAAAATGTGATAGAATGCTGAGTTACCAAACACTGATGCATTCCACCTATTATCCTGAAATGAAAATCAAGCTGTTTGTTGTATCACCCACTGGCTGAAGTCTAGAAATTAGTAGGCCCTTTAAGAAGTAGATAACTGTTCAAAGTATTCGGAACACTGCCTCTGTTTAGTTACTTTCCTCAGAAGGTTTGAACTGAAGTCTCCACAAGTGATGAGATTTTTTACTCTTTAAATTGGTGTTGTCCGGTAGGAAATGCTGGCAAGTCACAGGTGGAGCGATGGTAACATTGTTTTAATAAAAGAGAAATACCTAACCACATGCAATTCCTATATCACCAAAGAAGTAAAATATGTGCAACCAACAAAAACACTGTTTTTATCTTAATATTTATCAACAGTTCTTCAGAAGTATTAAGATATAATGTATACACCACACAAATGCATATTGAGAGCACATGCCCAGGCATGTCTGTTGCTCATTTTTAAACCTACATTCAGAAATCCACATCCATATTCCCATTCAGTTCCAAGTGGCTAGTGTCTAAATTGCACAGCTTTACTTTGCCATGCTTTGTACACATGGGTTTTAGAAATGCTTCTCACATTAGTTCATCTCTCATAGTATTGCACATGGGAAGTCGTGGCTAATTGTAGTCATCAAATGAAGCAATGGTTGAGGTAAACAAAACCAAATCACACCAAATTGATTTGATTCACGTATTACAATCTGTCTTTATTATTTTCATGTTTGTTATGAATTCCTAAGTTGCTTTTTACGTTCATAAGGTGGATTTGTCACTGGCAGGGCCAGTATTTATTGACTATCATCTTCAATAATGAAAGGGCACGAATGCAGCATACAAGTTTATGATGGCAGTTTCTGTATAAATGCGAGCAAAGGAATTAATGGAAAAAGTTATCAGGAATTGTGAGCAAAGTAAAAATTTTAATAAAAGTTTTACTGCAGCTACTAACCAACCCAGTAGTTTTAAACAGCACACAGCAGTTTGACGAGTATGTATTAGCAGCTTTCAGGAATTTCAATGCCATAGTTATTTTGTAATTTGATAATAGGTTCCACCAGTGCACCTCTTTGGGAAGACTCACTTTTGTGTTGTTGCTGATCTTTAAAAATTTCTATCTTTAAAGCTAGGAGTCTCATAATTGTGTAGTTTATGATTCACAAACTGATAAAATATAGATTATGAAAGTGTCAGTTCAGGATAAGAGTCAACTCACAACTCACATTAATGAATTTAGTGGAATGGAATGGTAAAGCAGAAAAAGTGTTGAAAATGAATGTTTCTGGAGAATTTTCTAAGGTCAACTTTACTGTTATTCAAAGCACATTGCTGCATCATGACAGATAGTACTTGGACACCAGAGTTGATTCAATGAAACGATGTAGATGTACAAAAGGTTTCTACACTAACATTCTGTACTGAAATATATTTTCAGAAGAAAGTATGAATTTTTGCTAAATTTGTTGTGGATAGATTCATCGATGTTAACAGTGTTCTGTGATGAGCCTTACATAGAAATGATCAAAGCCATATAATCCCACAACTTTTTTAAAATTTCTCTGAGCAACCTGTGTAAAGTCATCCATTGACCTATGTTCCTAGTAGTTCTTTAAAGAAGATAAATGGTTGTAATGTAGGGGCAATGGAAATCCCATGCTGCAGTTAAAAGTCACACTGATGTGGAGTACATACTTGGCAGTGCGAGATTGCAGAATTATTTCCTCCCTGTTCCTGCTTTGATTTAGTAACAGATTTGAAATGTTACTTTGTGGTTTTTTGGGGTGGTGAGAAGTCAGAATTGACTTAGTATGCTTAATAGTTACAGTAATTGGGAGAGATATGGAACGGTCTATAAAACTCTAAGCTGTCAATTACAGCAAGTCAAAATTTAATTATTTAAACTGGAAGGAAAAGACTCCTTTTATATTTAAAGGATTTGGGTTGCATATAATTACAAAGCTTATTTTTTTCCTCCCTCCAGGACATGTAATATTGCAGTTAGATGCATTGTTGAATTTGCTGGGCGTTACTCTTTTTTTTCCTATACAAACTGAACAATTTGGCCCCTTGTTTTATTTATAAAGGTTCAGTGTATCTTTGCCTGCCTACTTCAATCTGCAAGGGAGTTACAGAAACACCCCGCGTTCATCGAGCCGTGAGTCATGACTAATTTTTCCAGCTGTGTTAATAAATGTGGACAAGGAAACAGTCAATTTTCATAGCTGCAATATACAAAGATACAGTGTACACAACAGTGGAAAATGAATAAACTGCAATGCAGTAGCAGCTCTGGCCAGACCAATTTGATATGTAGGTTTACTTCAGTTTTGGGGGATTCAATAGAAAAGACACTACTGCTAACCTGCATGCAGCAATTTGAGACCACTAGATTTAAACTGGGACACGTATTTGCTAGATACATTCTGTGATTTTAATTGCAATGTTTGCTCATATCAAGAAACAAATTTGGTCAGGATTTGCCACTTATTATTGCAATGGGTTTGAATGCAACTTTGCTGTTTATTGGGTCATTAGAATTGGATGTTCACTCTGAAGCTGTTTTTTTTTCGGGGAGATGGTGATACTAAACGTGAATTGGCTTGGGTGTGCAATGCAGCTGTAGCTCCAGGTCTAAAACGAAAAGCCTACAAAGTTGCTTAATCTGAAATTAACATTCATTTTGAGTCAAGGTTGTACTTTAAGAGTAATGAAGATAATACTCTAACTAAAATCACATTGATAGGCCATTCAAGCAGAATAGCCACTAGTGTTATCCAAGCTGTTGTAATGAAGGCACAATCTTAATTAAATCCTGTTGATACAAATCTAGAAAATCTTGCCATGTCATGTCTGAGAGAATTTTGTATTTATATTTCATCAGCTGCACATGAAAATGGACATGGACTATCCAAGAAATTATGACTGTATATCATTGTGGAAACACTGAGACAGTTTCTTCTCTCCCTCATTTGAGTGCAGCCATGTAGGATAGGGCAAGTTTTACAGACTGATCAGCTCTATTCATATACATCCTACTGGCATGCTTTTCTGCAGACGGAAGGTAGAGATGATCTTTTGAGTTGACTGTTCTAGTCATATGTATCCAAAGTTGTCAGATGTGCTGAGGAGCAGTGATCTGATTCGGTTTCTGCAAAATAAAAATTTGTAAATTGCTAATGGACAAAACCGCACAGATTCATCATAATAAATACACAGATTTGATCTCTGTTGCAGAACTATGGCTGGGCACATCCATTGCTCCCAGAAAACTCAACTAATGTTTTTGCTGGTCCATGAGGTAATTTTCTTCATGTTGTATTTTAGTTCCAGTATCCTTAAGTCTAGTTTTTTTTTGCTCCTTGAGTCTACTTGGATCTGACACTCTGATCCTGGAATTGACATCCTTGTTTAGTGTTTCTAAAATTGTGTATTGTGAATGTGAACAAGTATAGAAAACTTCACAATAAGTACTTTGATCAATTTGTTAGATATATGAAGATAATGAAAACAATGGGATTTCCCTCAATCAAAGTTCATAATGACTGTGTTTTTTCACAAGAGTGTTCCTGGTTTAGGTGCAGTTGAAAATAATAGCATCACTCCTGACTGGCAATTTTCTGTCTAGAAGTTGAAAACATTCAGTGGTTTTGTGCCTTTTTCACTCCAGCTACACAAGCAGAAATTGTCCCTTTCCAAAATTCTGTAATGTGCATCTCATCTGTCTCTAAGTGGAGACTAAGCTGGGAGAGGAGAAATTCACTGTCTTTCTAAAGACATGCAACTTACATTCTGTTCATTCATGTTAAAATGAAATTTTTTAATGCTATTTACACTATAAATTGCTCATCCAGTGGATCCAGAAGAAATAGTGAGCAATGGAATTTACTCAATCATGTTATGAAAGTGATGGAGGAATTGAGGGGTGGATGGGAGTGGATAATCATTTGATATTGATGCGTGGCATTGTCCAGAACTTTCTGTAAGTTCCTAACCATCTGGGGCACTTTCTGTAATAAAGAGAATCTGTAACTATGTTTTTTTTAAAATTGATGTTTTGCAATAGCCCAGCTTTAAATCAAGTGGCCTTAATTGCAACAGTGTAAGAATTTAGCAGTAGATTTATTCAGTTAATGGTCTTGCTGTCATAGTCCCTCAAGACCAGTTATTAAACATTAATAAAATTGAACTAATAAAATTGAACTACTCATTGAGTAGTGTCATGATTGCCAAGGGCTTTACACACCCAAATTTCATTTGAAGGAAAAATGTGTAGAACTGTTATATACAATAGTTTGATACATCGGCATCAAGCAAGGCTTGACATTGTGCTAATAATATATGTTGCACAGCAATGTTATTGGGTACATTTGTTGGTTAAGTGCAACTGTAAAATTGTTTCCCTTTTTCTATTGACTCTATAAAGGCCATTCTTTGTGCTTCTGGGATGCACTTATACAGTTTGTGACTTATGACCATGTTCAGTTAATTAGTAAATCTGGAATTAACAGCTAGCCCTAGTGATGGTGACAATTATGCTATCATCACTGCTCATAAAGACACATTTAGATCTCCGGTGTGTTTTAGGAGGCAAAATCTGCCCAGTCTGCTTTACCTAGTGTGGCAAGTATGATTGCAGACCCAGAACAACGTGGTTGACTCTCAACTACCCTGTGACATGGCCGCTCAGCTCATAGGTAATTAGAGATGGCCTCGCTAGTGCTGCCCGCATCACGTGAAAGAATAAAACAAAATTATCACAGCCTGTACCGTTTACACCAAGTCATGGAACTTAGTTCAATGAAGAGTGCATGAGAGTGTGCCAGGAACAATCCCAGATATACAAAAATATGAGCTGTCAACCTGGTGAAGCTAGAACTAAATGACTTGCATGCCAAATAACAGAAGCAGAATGCTGTCGACAGCTAAGCAATCTTACACAGCAGATGTAATTAAAATGTTGGTGGACAATTAAACAAGTCACTGGAAGAGGAAGTCTCTCAAACATTCTCATCCTCACTAGGGGTAATTCAAGACATCAGTGTAAGATAAGCATTTGTAACAGTCTGAGTAGGTGATGCTTCTGACGTCCCTATCATTACAGATATTATCTGCAATCAGTTGAACACATTTCACTTGATAGCAAGAAATAATTGATGGCACTAGATTCTGCAGTCAGTGGGAATAAGAGAGGTGGAGGGGGTGCTCTCCACTAGTTGCAGTTCAACTTAGCACAAAGAAAGATGGTACTGGTTATTGAAGGCTAGTCATTCCAACCCCATACATTGCTGCTGGAGTTCCTCAAGGTAGTGTGCTAGGTCCAGCAATTTCTAGCTGCTTCCCTCCATAAGGTTAAAAGTACAATCAGCAATGCTCAGTACTATTTGGGACTTCTCTGATACTGAATCTGGCCCTATCCATATGCAGCAAAACCTTGACAAAATTCAGGCTTGGGCTGATAAGTGACAAGCAATATTCACCCCATTCAAGGGCCATGTTATGACCATCTCCAACAAGAGAGAGGCTAGCCACCTCCTTTGACATTTGGTGACCATCACAAAATCCCCCACTATCAATATTCTGAGTTATTATTGACCAAAAATTGAATTGGACTAGCCATATAAATACTGTGGTTACATAAGCAGGTTAGTGGCTGAGAATTTTGTGGCGAGTTACTCACCTTACTTGCCAAAGCCTATCGCCATCTACAAGGCACAAGTCAGGAATGTGATGGAATATTATCCACTTACCAAGATGAATGCACTTCCAACATCCTGGACAAAGCAGCTTGATTTACATTCTATTCACATCTTAAAACACTCACTCCCTCCACCATTGATGCGTAGTACCAGCGGTGTGTATTATCTACAAGATACACAGCAGTACTCAATTATGCTGTTTTGACAACACTTTCCAAATTCGTGGCCTCTGCCATCTGGAAAGACAAGAAGATGCACATAAATGTCCACCACTTGCAAGTTCCTCTCCAAGCCATACACAATGCTGACATGGAGCTATGTCAGGAACAGCATTGTGGATATATGTACACTACATGGATGATGGTGGTTCAAGAAGGCATCTAACCATCACCACCTTGAGGGCAGTTAGAGATTAACCGTTACTGGCCTAGCCAGTGACGATCATATCTCATGAAGGCATATAAAAAAAGCTGTGCTCCGATGCACTTCTCTCAGTAGAGCACTCTTGTTGTTCTAAACAATGAAAATTGATTTGATCAACATTATCTAAACCCAGCAATGTAATTTTACTGTCCATTCACTTTGAAGTAGAATATTGCATCATAATTTGTACACTGTTGAGCTTATTTTGAGTGACTGTCTTTGTGTTTTAATGTAGTTGCCTGTTTAATTGGGCAGTTTTTTGCAGTGTTGTCAAAGATGAAAATAGTGTTGCATACTTTAGATTTACCAATTTGGCACAGCGACTGAATAATGGTGGATTTTGTATTTTGGGACAAGGATAGTCAAGAGGTAATATGGACAACTTCAAACTGTCTGCCAAAATGGAAAATGTAAAGACTATATCGTAGCAGCACCTAACTTGAGCATTTATACAACTGGCAGCAATACCTACTGGCAGAACTTATAAACTCCAGCACTGTAGTTCTGAACAGATCTGAACATTTTGAAGTCAGTTTATGATCACAAAGTCAAAAACACTTTCTCCCCTTTGCCCCTCAAAAGCCGCCTTAGTTTTTTTTAAGAAAGAAAGTATGGCTCCTATAAAGTAGGGCTTGATATTATTTTTACGTATTTTGCAGTAAATACTTCTAAAAGCAATTGATGGTGATCTTGTTTCATTAATGGGAATTTCATTCCATTTTCTTTTGGGGCTTGTCGTTGCCTTTTTGAGACTAGCAAATATACCCAATAACTTTCTATTATGCACCAGGAAATGCCTCAAATTCAGGTTTTAATTTCATCAATGTTTATGGAGTAATTGCTGTCAACTGAGCCACATTAATTTGTATAATTCTGATTTTTGGGGGCGACAGCTACTGATTAGGGTCAAACATTTTCGGTCTACAGTTTGTTTATCCCTGATAGATTGTTCTCTGTAAACATGTCTGCTGCCTTGCTCTTGTTGCCATTTTTTCTGCTGTGAAATTAAAGATATTTCTAAATTTGAGACCAGCTCTGAACTCAGTATTAAATTCAATATTTCCGGCATTTATTTACAAAATCATTCATACAAAATTGACCTTAATGCAAACGTATATTGCTTGTCATTAAATAATTGTTTGTGTGCTGATCACTCTTTGCATAATCATATCAGAAGTCATAGTTGGCAACATATTCGAAATAATGCTTATTGAACATTAAAATGAATTAAGACATTACAGAAGCAAAGTATAAGAATCGTTTATTTTTGCTGATAATTATCCATATGTCAAGGCTTGTTCAGAAAAGTATCAATCTATTGGGTATAACATTCTCTGCCAGATCAAATTAGCAACATGACTGTGAATGAAAAATTTACACAGAACTGATCAGAGACCAAGGTTCATTCTATTTGAGCCCAAGTTCCTCCAATTTTTCCACTGAGATTTCATTTCCTTAATTTCTAGTAATTATTTAATCATTCATTAGGCAAAGGCAATGCCTAATCTCCTTGCATACTTTTTATTGGTGATTTCAATTATGATAAAATGTTGGAGCTATTCTAGTTAGCATGTGAAATGTAAATTAATTTTAACAACCTTGAGTTTAAATAGTGCTTGCTTGAGAAATGATCTTTCTCACAGTTGCATAGTACGGATGTTTTAAACCTACATTTTATTTTGGAATGGCCTTCAGAGAATAAACTGTATAGTCACCAAGTGTTTACTGTTACTAATTTGAAAACACTGTTTTAGTCCAAAAGAAAATATTTCATTTCATTTTATAGAACTGCTTGATGTGTGATTGGCACAAGTCCCTTCTTGCAGGTGTATAACTCTGAACACTCTCTCACCTTTTTAACTTCCCAACATCCAGGGTATAAAACACTGTGCAGCTGAGGCACTAATAGTGGAAGAGATGGAAGCAGGTGTCCTGGGGGCACTCGCAGTGTGTATTCTTGCTTCGCAAACTTTTTCAATCTATATTTTGTTTATCCCTCTTTTTTTAAAAAAAAATACAAGGATGTTCTGCAGTTGATTTCAAATGAAATTTTACTGGGCTGAAAGAATTCCATAAGGTATCATGTCTTGGAAAAGAATTTTATACAGAATCTTGATAACTAGAAGGATCCATAAAAATCGTGTCGAACAGATGGAGTCAACTGTGTAGTCCAGCCTTATGCTGTAAAGTAATTAAAAGTTATTAAAAATTAAATGCTCTTTTTATTTGTTTTTGTACTCTGAGCAGTTTACTTCCATTAAACAATGCTTTACTCTCGCAGGAGCTCACCTGGTACATGGTCTATGTTTGGGTCACTACAACACATCATCTGTAGGGTAGGGTGATGCAACTGCAAAAATTATGTTTGTGAAGATTTGCATTATGTTTGATGTGTGATCTTAATGGAGCTTACATTATTTCCCGTGTTTTTTTTTGTAACTGCATCCTAAATTTTGTCACTTGCACCCATGGATCTAGAATTAACAAGTTAACTGCTTTGGAGTAGCTTAGATCAAGTGAACGCACTGCACTTGCGATGTAATTGAGGTTTTAAAATTCTGGACAGTGCTTTTTTTAATGTATTTATAACTCGTCTTATGAGTGGTGTTTTGATCTTTTTTTAATTTTTTTTAGTTTTATGTGATATCAATGTGTTTTTCTCCTGTCCGTTATCGCTCACATATATAATGGCTCCAATGCAGCTAGATGAAAGAAGTACGTGGGCAGGTGTATAAAGTGGGTTCGAATCAGGTCAGTATGGAGAATCCTGTAAGTGACCGCATCTGAATACCCTTACTTAAATTGGAATCTTCATTTTAATTTGGTTATTTTTGGTATGATTGTTGTCAAAATGGTGTTCAGATAGTTATTTTAGTTGCGTCAATTGATAGTGCAACCTCTTTAAATCTTTAGGAATTCTCGCATGGAAGAAACATTTTCTTTTGTTTCTCTTAAAGTAGGACAGGAAGTTCAGCCCTTGTTTAACTGAATTTGTTGATGCGGACTACTATTTCTGTTTCAGAAAGTTTGAAATTAGACTGTAGTGCATTGTGTGACACATTCTCTCTGAGTGTGCGCAGCTCAGGTAGACTGACAGTTTAGTTGGTGAATTTCTTTCCCTGCAGTTGGAATAATTCTGTTCAGCTTTGTAGAAGTTGCAAAGTTGATTTTCTCACGGGTTTTATTTCCAAGACATGGTACTTACCTGGAACCTTCTTCACAAAAGTCTGATTGTTCTCTAAAGATACAAGTTGCCCTGAACAAGTGTGAAATCATCTGTGTGACTCGTAATACAATAAAAAAACTTGGGTGAAAAAGTATGTTTCCGATTGCCGCCTTGCTTTGCAAGTCCAGGTCCCAGAAAGAGTCAGTAGAAGACTACAGCCACATTTTCATTGTACTTCAGACAAAACCATGAAAGCATATTCAGGTGTTGAAAACGTTCAGTAATCCATCACGAAAAGTAGAGAAGAATCCTAGGACCTGGGAATGATGTGTGTTTACTACAAAGAGTCTCCACTAGTTTGAGGTTTGAGACGCTGGCTGCAGAGCTGTTCATGTTGAATTATTTACAGAGTGTAGCCCACTCTAATAAAGAGTACCCTTCTTAAAAGGTCACATATTTAGTGCTAGTTAGCTCTGGAATGTTGTGGTTTGACTACAGTTAATCAACATTATGCACCACAGTGCTGTCTATAATGTATTAATTATGGGTAATAACCTGCTGTTTTGGTATGTACGCATAAGTTTTCACTTGGAAAGTCACCATGGTAGCCTGAGGTAACAGTGATATATTCCAAACTTAAAATATTGAGCCTCAAAATTAATGCTTTTAAGTTGTAGCCCCAACTGGAGAATCGGTCAACGTTTTGAAACATAAAAAAAGACTTATTCTTTCCCTTTCTAAGTGGAACATTTCTAATATATGATCAAGTCTTGACGCAAGTGCACATTTATACAAAATTATTTTGCTTTTGTAGAATCCTATAGTAGTGAGTAACTTAATAACAAGCAGCTACAGGAGGTGCACAAATCAACTATCTTGATTTCCATGACTACCAGGAGACAAACCATGTCAAATAATCAGGTAGGAATGGGAGGGGGATGCTAAATTAAACAAGAGGTTTAAACTCTGTATTCAAAAATGTATGCTTTCATAATAGTTCACACTTTTTCTTGTAAAAGGCTGTTTGGTTTTAGGTAAACTTGATATGTATCTAGATTCGCATCCTGCTTCATAGCATTCATTTTGAAAGCTCACAGGAATTGACTTGCAATGGCTTTAGCTGTGATCATTTTATTGTAAATATCTTCAGACCGATAAACTAAATTTTAAAAAGTTGTTTTGCTAAAACACTCACGTTATTACTGGACTAGTTTGCAGAGACCAGTCTCTGTATTTTTAATTGTGTCCATTTAGTTTAGAAAAGGCACATGGTATTGGAAACATACTTTGTCAGAGGGATAGAAGCTGGGAGTACTTGTTACGCATATGTACGATTCATAATTTCCCATCTAACCCTGTTTTTCACTATGACCCCTGTATTACAGGAGATGCCAGTCGGCAGCGAATCAGATTTACTGACGATCGGGTCTGCAAGAGTCACCTCCTGAGCTGCTGTCCACATGATATACTTTCCGGAACGGTAATGTATATTGTAAATAAAAATAATTGTTTATTTTGTTTCACCATTTTTATTACTTGAATTGGTCAAATCTAATACCAAGCAGTTACATGTGTGTTGTTGTGCATTTTGCTAAAATAGGGACACTTTGCAAATAAAAACGAGCATTCAAACGGTAGCTGGTTAGATGAATATACTAAAGTACAATATTTCTTATAACTTCAGTGTGAAACAAGCACTGGATCAATCCTGGAAATTTGATCCAATATCTTTAAAATCAAACTATTTTAAAAACACTGTCGTATTTGGCTGCTCTTGTATACTATAGATCTGAATGGATTGCGTGTGACATTGTTCACCGTAAATTGTTATCATGACAGGGGTGGTGTGAAGTTATCCACTTTGGTAGGAAAAATAAAGCAGCATAAGTTTTGAATGGTGAGAGATCATGGAAACGTAACCTGCAGGTACAGGAAACAATTATGAAGGTATGATAGTTTTTATTACATAGGGATTGGAGTCTAAGTCTTAATAGAAGTGTTGAAGCCACGGAGGATGCTGAATTTGACATGGGTAACAAGAAAGAGCACATCAGGAACCAGAACTTCAGGAGGACGGATTAGATTGAGTGAATGTTAAAGAAAATAACCAAGACGACGCTGAAATGCCAGGGTCATGTTGCAGAGAGAAAGAGAAAGATGTGAGGTAAGTGATGGGATGAGATTGACCGGAGAAAGGTGGTGAGGAAGGCCTAGCATCAGATAAAAAGATGTGATGAGAAACAAACTTAGTGGGGGCAGAAAGAGAGCAGGTGATTGATAGATGTTGTAGTGACCCAAGGTAAAATAGGAGAAATGGGAATAAGTTGCTGAGGCCACAACTTTAGGCAGTTTAGGTTTTAAGAAAGGGCGTACTTTCCCCAGGGCGATGTACCACTAAAGGTTCTGTAGCCTGGTTCTTGTGATGCAGTGATTGTCCTAGGAGGAGAGATTGAGAAGAGTCACAGGTGGTGCTGTTTAAATTTCTGAAATTCTTAAGGAGCTTGACAATGTAAACGCTGAAAATGTGTTTCCACTTGCTGGGGACCCTAAAGCACCGACTCAGTCTCAGAATAAAGAGTTGTCCACTTAAGACTGAGATGAGAAATACATTCATTCACAGGACTGTGAATACTTGAAATTCTCTGCCAGAGTGAGTGTGTAGGAAGGTGGAGTTGTAGTAGAATGTTTAGCGACAAGAAACATCCACTATTGTGTGCAAACCCACACTTTTACTTGCATTAAATTCTACTTTAAACATTTTAAAAAGAACAAAATGTGGCTCCGAGTTTCAGAATGCAGCATCAGAAAGGGAACACACTTGCTGTTGATTTTGGCAGAGGGGGATTTGTGTGTACATTTTGCCTGCCCTCACTTCTGACTTTTTCAGAAGTGGCACCAGAGCAGAAGCTGCCACTTGAGGGATCAAATGCAGCATATAGACATCATAAAACTTGGATTCTGGGACAGCTGCAAGATGGTATAGGTGCAGAGTGAGAGGAAATCAGGCTGCTGGCTTCCAACTTAAAGCGTGCAGCTTTTATTTCTCCTTTTCCCCCTGCCTATGGCCTGCATTAGGTAAAATTGTTATTTTCTCTCTCCACAGAAACCTCAGGCTCCAGGCAACAACTGGAGATTGCTGTCTTTCTGACAGCAGAGTATCTTTGACCTAATGGTCAAAGTATGCCAAACTCATTTTACTGGTTATAGAGAACCAGGTTTTCGTCTAGTTGTGCCTTAATTTCTGTATTCTCTAAAACTGCTTTACTGTATTGACCAACAGGGGATGTTCCATCATAGAATCATAGGATTCCTACAGTGTGGAAACAGGCCTTTCGGCCCAACAAGCCCACACCGACCCTCAGAGAATCCCACCCAGGCCCATCCCCCTATAACCCACTTAATCCACACATTCCTGAACACTACGGGCAAGTTAGCATGGCCAATTCACCTAACCTGCATATCTTTGGACTGTGGGAGGAAACCGGAGCACCCAGAAGAAACCTACCCAGACAGTCACCCGACGGTGGAATCGAACCTGGGTCCCTGGCCCTGTCGTTGAAATTAGCATAAACAATTGCATTGCCAGAAGGCATAGAGCGTTCAATTTGTAATTTTGTTTTGGCAAGCCCTGAAAAACAAGGCAAACAATGAATTTTAGAAACTTAAGTTAAAATTACCTTTGAGATTCTGAGTGCTGCCATAAGTTTGGGGAAATTAGTTACAGTGGTTAAAAGCTCCCATGTACAAGCCAGCAATTTGTATTTATAAAGGGGATCAACTTAAATGTAATAAGATGTCCTAAAAGGATTTATAGGAGCGTCTTAAATCAGTGTGACACCAAGTAATGAGCTTTTGGGCAGCAGATGAGCTGACAGCAGGAGGTGAAGACAACAGTGACAGAGGTAGAAATAGGTGATCATAATGAGGACACAGTTGTAGTTGGAAGTTCACTTTGGGATCAGAACAGGCTGGATCAGCCTCTGAGAGGGTCAAAATCTGTGGCTCTGGAACAAAGCTTGTTGAGAGGATCAAATAACAATGTTTCAGTCATTCCAATATTTAATTGGAGAAAATTGTCTGTGGATTCAGAGACATTGCACAGGTTGAGAGAAGTGTTATTGTAGTTGAGTTGGTTGTCAGTGTGCATGTGGAAACTGAAATGTACGATATATTACAATTGATGCAAAATTTGTCTTAATCCTGTGATTTATAGTGTCTGCCTTTGAAACTGGAGAATGTTCAACTAAGCTGAGCTACAAAGTAAAGCCAATTCATTGTTTTATACCATACCTGGACTTTCTTCTGTGGGTACAGTCGGGGAAATTGGACCCAAAATTCCCTCCATTGTTAGTGCTCATTTTTGCTGATGCAATTTACTACCGAGTCCTTTGCCAATCTTATTGGATGACACCAAAATTTAAAATAAACAATAAATCAAGTTAAACAGTTTGAACCCAAGGAAAGCAGTAAGCCCACATCCTGTATTTCTTCTTTAATTATGAAAATTGAAATATAAGCTCCTTGAATCAAAGGTCATGTACAAGGTGGACAAATAGAAATATGTTCTGACAGTTTTGATTTCATCTTGTATTATGTATGCTCACTGCATTAAATACTGAAGTGTTGAAAAGCTATGGGCACTGGTGACCTTGGTAAAATTTGAATAAGTCAAGTCCGCAAAGAGAAAACTAATGTTTCTTATCCGCATGAACTCCAATAATTCCACCCTTTGAAGTAGCCTACATGTATTTGCATTCACTATTGAACATAAAAAGTGTTTCAGTTTTCCTTGTGTCTATTGTTGTCTGCTTGTCTCCTGTGTTTTTTATGCTGGTGTCATGTTGACACACATATGGTTGTTATAGAACTCTGTTAACTGGGGATTTGCCCATTTAAAAGCAGAGACATGAATTGCTGATTAAATGAATAAACCCTGAGATGGCTTGCTATTGTAGTTTTGTTAGAAATCTATTTATTTTTCCGAATATGATTGTCAGGCAGCTAACATTTCAAGATTTGCCTTAGAAACCGTTTTAGAAGCACTGTGCCGAATAATGCATATTGATTTGTTCTGCTCTTGTCATGCTACAGTGATGTATTATCCTGCTTAACATGTTGTCCTGTTGTTGGAGACCCATTAGAGAGAATTTAAATTTCATATCCTTCTGGGAACACAAACTTCTCTCTTATCTCCAAACCTCTCCCCCCAAACAAAAAGGGTCTTAAATCGTCATAACAATCAAATTTGCTCTGATCTTTGTTGATGCTTTCACATACATAGAAGGTCTTGCCATCTAATTGCGATATGTGCAGTTTCCCCCCTCTACTTTGCCCTACCATACAGAGGATAATTATAATGCATCTTTGACTCCACATTGTTCCCTGCCTGAAATCAATTAGGCCATCACTGAGCTAATATTAAATAATCCTGTGCATTGTGCATATGTGCCAACTTTCCACGTGAATTTCACAAATGTTGATGTGGATGCCACTAATTGTTTAAAGATGCTTACTAATTTTGTAAAATATATTCATTATGAGCCAAAAAACACCATCACTCAGGAACATAATCCATTTTAGACTTGGCTTTTGGATCCTGTTTCAGAAATAAGTTGCCATTCCTTCACTGTTGCTAGCTCAAAATCCTGGACTCCCTCCCTAACAGTATTGAGGATGTACCTATACCAAGTGGACTGCAGCAGATCAAGAAGAAGGCTCACCACAGTCTTCTCAAGGGTAATAGGGATAGGTAATAAATGCTGGTCCAGCCAGAGAAGCGCATATCCCCCGAATGAATAAAAATAAAAGACACTGCAGTGTCTCATTGACTGAATATAGGTCATCCACATTTTAAAAAATAAAGTGTGACTGATTTTTACAGCAGCATTACATGATAAACTGGATTGGATTTGACTGGTTAATGCCATTTGATATTTTGCCTTTTGGATTTTAAGTTTACTGTTGACTGCCGTGATTTAAGATAACCTTCCCTTTCTGCTATCTTCGTAAAGATGAGTTAAATTAATTTTGCGTTGGAGGTTTTTTTAATGGGGTAGAATTCCACCATGCAGACCTTGAGTCTTAGACTTCAATAGCCTGCTGTGTCACTTGTTAATGTTTGAAAATTTCCATTGCGGTGAAGGAATTTACTGTTTATTGTCAGGTTAAATCACATATGTAGCAAAGTAGGAGGTATTGATTTTATACCTATCATGTTTGATTTGAAACTGCTGCTTATTGGGTCCAAAAAGTGGAAAGATATTTGTTTTCCCAGCATGCAGTTACGTAGAAATGAATCGTTCTTTGGTCAAGGGATGATTATATTTTATTTCCTTGGATGTTGTGCTTGTCAGATCACTGCTTGTACACTTGTATGATAAAGAATTGAAGTTTATAAAAATCTGATGATGTGTAAGTTTGACAATTTTCATAAAGCTATAAAACAAAACCATTTTTGAAAATTCCATTCCATTCGCATCCCCTACAAGCACAAACTATGAGTGTGATGAGATAATCTCCACTTGCCTTAACGATTGGAGCCCCAAGAACACTGTCCACAAAGCTCGACACCATCTAGCACAAAGCACCTTCCTGATAAACATCCATCACTTAAAATATTCTTCTAAACCTCTGTATGCCATCTCAAGACTCACTGCTGTACCTCATCCGAGCTTTTCCAATAGTACGTTGCAAACCGCGGACACCTGCCACGTAGATCAATAACAGCAGATGCATGGGAACATGAACACCATCCAGGTTCTCCTCCAAAACATTCTAACGTGGAAACATTACTGTTCCTCATAAATAGTCAAAGCCTGTGAACTCCCTTCGAGTTGACTGTGGGAGGGCATTCTTGCTTAAGAGGTTCAGGAAGATGGTTCACCCCCAATCCTCTTGTGGGCAATAAATGCTGGACTCAGCAACAACACCCACATCCTATGAAGGAATTCAAAAGAAGATTTCATAGTAGCCGTTGGGCTACAATTTGAATTTGATTAAGTGTTACTGTATGTGTTTCAAGCTTTAGGATCTTTAAAGCAAGCAGAGAAATCCGGGAAGGAGAAGGTAGAGCAATATTGTGTGACACAATTACCTCTGTCAAAAGAAGTAATTGTGAATGGTTAATGAAAATAATATGAGTAAAACTAACAAACGTAAAATGGATACATAACCTTAGTGGGAGTTGTTGAAATGCCTTCTAATCATGATTTTGAGTGCAATGTATACACAGCAGGACAACATGCAGTGGGAACAATGTAGTTATAACGGGAGATTTTGGGTTTCTTGTAGACTGGGAAGAATGGAAGAACTCAAATAATGGAGGTAATGAGTTTCTAAAAGGTATTTGGTAAATTTTCTAGAAATATGTTTTGAATTAACAGTGGATACGATCCTACCAGATGTTGTATTAAGTAAAATTCTAAATTATTTAACAATATACTATGCCAATAAATAACCATATTATGATCAAATTAATATCAGATTTGAAAGGGAGAAATCAGACCCCTAAACCAAAGTTAAAATTTAAGCGAGGCAAACTTCAAGGCGATAGGAAGAAATTAACCTCTGTAAATTGGGCTGAGGAAATAATGAATCAACAGTGGGAAGTATTGGTAAATGCAAGCAAACGCCTGAAAGACAAAAGCTTCACTCTTTTTTTTTTATAGAATGATGGCCAATGAATGAAGAGTGAGACAGCATTAAACTAAAAGGCTTACATGCGTATAAGGAGGAAATCCAACAGTTGGGAAAGTTTGTTTTTAAAAAAGGGATATTTAAAAAAGTAATAACTTGTGTGGGATGAATGATTAATGAAGTTGATTTTTCTCGAAATATTCTGTCTGGGGAGTCTAGAGCATAATTATAATTAAAGTTGACCTACTTAGCAGTGAAATTATCTTGCTTATTTAAGATATGCTTTAAAAGTCATTTCATTGATTAAGGTTTTGATGATCTGACCTGGTATATCTCTAAGTGTCATGGTGTTTTATTTTTGTTTCATAATGCTCCCATGAGGTGCATGGCATTTTATTACCTCAAAAGTGCTTTGCTCCTTCATGCTGTTAAACCATTGAAGATTTTCTTTAGTAAGTAAAAAGTGTAGATGAGGATGGAGCCAAAACTTGAGCCAGAATTTTCCAGGTTAATGAAACTTGTGTTTTCTTAAAATAACTTGAGGAGCAAGAGAACTTGTGTCATAGGACTTTAACTACCCTGTGTCTCAGCTGCTGTACCTAAATGTGAATTGTTTACAATGACTTAAATATGTAAAGCATTTTTGTAATATTTTAACCTGATATGGTGTGTAATTGGAAAGCTCTTTTTCTTTCATTTTAGTTCACTTTGTTTAGCATTGATATGTGTTAATTGTTCACATCCATAGGTGTTTCTTTGTTTAAATCATCATAATCCAACAGTGCTTGTCGAACAGCTGATCTTTTAACAAGATAGCCCTCTCATTTTCAAAGCCCTGTTTATTGCATTGTTGGTGGATATAAGTAATGGTGTATCCAATGTCCAGGACTACGTGCTGAGGGGTGCAGTAAAGCTTGGGGCAGCTGCCACCAAGGCACAGTGGGGAAAGACCACTGTCTAAGGTCTTTCTGTCTAAGTTAAATGGGAGTCCATTCAGTTTTCAAACCCAGATGCATGTAAATAATTCCTAGTACCTAGCAAAATTAAGAATTGCCTTTGAATTAGTTGTAACTATCAAGAAAGTCAAACTGCAACATTTGTTTTCTTTTCTGTATGCAGAGAAGATCTGAAGTGCTTTAATAACTGTGTATGTACGTAAAGATTTCCTTTTCTTTAAATGAAGTACATTTTTGCCAAAGTAAATGGTTGTAGTATTGTTAATTTGTAATTGAATTTCATATCAGTCACTACTGGCTGATTATTGTTTGATTTTTTTTTTGATTTCTTACAGAGAATGGACCTTGGAGAGTGCACAAAAGTTCATGACCTTGCACTGAGAGCAGACTATGAAATTGCCTCCAAATTAAAGGACCACTTTTTTGAAATGGATGTAAGTGATGCTGTAATTATTACTGATGAGAGTTGAAAGACATGGTGATACCTTAAAGCAGAACCTAAAAACTGTGATGTGCTTTCAAATATATATTTTAGGTTTTTAACTGCATTCTGTTTAAAAATGAAAAGTCGTTTAATTGAAAAAAATTCCAAAAATATAGATATCTGTCCAAAGCATTTGAATAATTTTTTGGAATGTAGGAATGGAATGCAATATAATGGAGAATGAAACGGTATGAGATTATGAATTCTAGTAGTCCCTTCAGATGAAAGCCCAAATTGCACACCTGTCTTCTTATTCAACAATAATTAATTGGTATAGATTTCACAGTCTCACAGAGAGAAACCCAATATACTGTCATTACGAATAACAATCTGAGTACTGCTGCATCTTTTACCTAGAAATGTTTGTTCTCACTGAAACTAGATTTTTATTTGTAACTTAATTATTTTTCTCCAACATCTGTGCACAAATATGAACAATCATAATTACTTTCAAAATGCAAAATATTATATTAAGTCAACCTTTGAAGCCTTGCAAAATCCCCCCCAAAATAGGTGTCATTTTGTATACCAAGTGAGAGAGTGCATTGCTGGAGTGTGGTGGTCACCATTTTGAAAAGTCATCAGCGTCAGCTGCGAAGTGTGGGCATGACTTAAGATTCTGCACATCTTTGCAACATGGTTCATATTGTTTGATTCCTTCCATTCAGCTGTAAGGTACTGGTAATTAAAACATGCAGGATGAAAAGGCAAGGCTGATTACTAATGCATGTCTAGTATGTCACGGCTGGAAAGGGGATCCCACTTTTACATTTGAGTATGTAGAAAATTATGACTTTAGGGCTGTAAAAATGGTGTTCACTTGTATATAGTGTGCAATTAATGATACCTGAATTATATCACTACTTAAGCCAAATTCCTGGAGCTAAGACTACATCAAATTTATTTATCTACCCTCATAATTTAACCCCTGAAGTCCAGGTAACGTTATTGTGAAACTGCACTGTATACTCCTTCCAAAACCAGAATACTTTTTGCTAAGGTACACTGTCCAGAATTGTGAACAGAAATGCAGAAATAGTCTTAAAAGTGCTTTAAATAGCTTTTTATTGAAGTTTTCCCTTTCACGTTCTAGCCTGCCTGTATTTGCTATGCTATCGATATCAGCAGCAAATTTGAATTTTTGGCTGTCTATTGTCTTTGATTTAGATTATTAATAAATGTAGTAAATTGTTGAAGCCCCAGTTCAGTTTCTAGTGAGATGTAATTAGTCCCTTCCCTCCACTGTTTTCTACAGTGTAACCGTAGAGGTATACAACACAGGAACAGACCCTTCAATTCAACCCGTCCATTCCAACCTGGTTTCCTAAGTAGAGCTAGTCTCATTTGCCTGCATTTGGCCGATTTTTCTTCTAAAACCTTTCCTGTTCCAGTTCATGTACATGTCCAAAAGTCTTTTAAATGTTGTAATTATGCCCACCTCTACCATTCCCTCTGGCAGTTCATTCCATATATGTACTACTGTGTGTGGAAAATGTTACCCCCACCCCCACCCCCACCCCCACCCCCACCCCCACCCCCACCCCAGGTCCCTTTTAAATCTTTCCCCTCTTTACTTAAACCTATGTCCTCTAATTTTGGACTCCCCTACCCAAGGGAAAAGACCTTGGCTATTCACCTTATTTATGTCCTCATGTTTTATAAACCTCTAAGGGCACCCTTCAGCCTCCTACACTATAGGGGGGAAAACGTCCCAGCCTCTCCTTATAGATCAAACCCTCCAGTCTCAGTAAGATACTTGTAAATCTTTTCAGCACCCATTCCAGTTTAATAACGTCCTTCCTATCGCAGGGTGACCAGAACTCTACACAGTACTCCAAAAGTGGCCTGACCAATCTCTTGAGCAGCCGCAGTATGACATCCCAACTCCTATATTCACTGCTCTGACTGATGAAGGCAAGCGTGCCAAAATCTTTCTTCACCACCCTGACTACCTGTGAAACCAGAAACTATGTACTTGAACCCCTGGGTTTCTTTGTTCAGAACCATTCCCCAGGTCCCTACCAGTGTCCTGCACTGGTTTGAGTTAACAAAATGCAACAGCTCATATTTATCTAAATTACATTCCATCTGCCACTCATTAGCTACTTGGCCCAGCTGATCAAGATCTTGTTATACTCTTGGATAACCTTCTCCACTGTCCACAATGCCACCAATTCTGGTGTCTTTTGCGAGTTACTAACTATATCTCCTATATTCTCATCCAAATCATTTATATAAATGACAAACAGCAGTGGACTCAACTTTGATCCTTGTGGCATACCGCTAGCCACAGGCCTTCAGTCCAAACAACCACCTTCTACCACCACCATCTGTCTCCTACCATCAAGCCAATTTTGTATCCATTTGGCTAGCTCTTCTGGGATCATGTGATCTAACCTTACAAAGTTAAGTGTGGGCATAACTTGAATGAAGATTCTCTTATCAATACTTATTCAATACCTTCCTGAAGTTTTAGAAGCTAGGGCCATAGCCATTCCCTGGCTACTACTTTGTTTTTTACTCAAAAGATGTACTTATGTTTGATAGATGTGATCAATCTTTACAGAGCTATGTTTTTTCTCAAATCAGTACAAATTCCTTTCAAGTGTTTGAAAACTGTCCCAAATAACAGAATAAATTACTTTATTTCGCAGAAAATAAACCAACGGGTCCATAATGTCCTGATTTTACTCTCAGTAGAGCAAGATAATCTGGAGTACTTCTTATAATTTTGGTCCCCTTATCTGAGGAAGGATATAATTGCGATGGATGCAGTTCAGAGAAGCTTCGCTCCAAAGACGAAAGGCCTGTTTTCTGAGGAGAGATTGAGCAGTTTAGGCCTGTACTTGCTAGAGCTTAGAAGGATGAGAGAAGATCTAATTGAGGTGTAGACACTAAAGAGAATTGACAAAATAGAGGTAGAGCCGATGATTCTCCTTGTGGGGCAATCTAGAGCGAGAGATCATAGTTTTTGGCGAAGGGGTGGCAGATTTAGAACAGAGATGATGAGAAGTTATTTCTCCCAACGGTTTGTGAACCCATAGAATTCACTACAGCATAAAGCAATGTATGCCAGGACATTGAATAAATTTGATGAGAGAGACCAATTTTTAATTAGTAATAGGTTAAAGGGTTATGGAGAGTGAGCAGGAAACTGGAATTGAGGGCTAAATGAGATCAGCCATGATCATATTAATTGGAGGAGCAAGCTCCAGGGGCTGAAATGTCTACTCCTGCCCCTAATTCTTATGTTATTTGAATAAAAGTATTATTGCTGCAGTGTGTTTCAGCCATTTTCTCTCTCCAGTGCCAGCCAGATCTGTTGTCCTTCACACAGGAAAAGCTTTTGTCGGTTATCTGTTTTCTATTTGTTACTTTTCGCCTTCAGTTCCTCCTGGAAGAGGAAGAAGTTTTCAAGTTTTATCAAATTTCCTATTTTGCAAAGGACACTAAGGTTAAATGTACTGTTCATATGAGATACCCTATTTGGGACAACTTCAATTATTGGTACGTTCTTCTGCACTGACCAATGACTGAGTCCTGTAAATTTATCTGTAGATGAGTAATTATAACAGCAGAAAGCATAGTGGAGAGATCTGTGTGTTCTTGCATTTCTGTTTAATCAGGAAGTTTTGTTATTCTGCTTCGACGAGCACAGGTTCCTAGTTAGAGTCAGATAGGTTTTGCTGTGTCAGATTCATCTGTTGCAGCTGAAATGAAATGCTCCATAATTCAAGCAGGGTTCAGTCCACTATGTTGAATGTCTTCTGCCTCGTGTAATCAGTCATTTATTTTCTGCCATACATGTGTTTAAATCTTTCTTGCCCCTCTTCAATTTCCACTGCTGTACTAAGGGAGGTTTGAAACTCTCATTCACTCTTTCATCAATACCTGTAAATTTATTATTCCAGTTTCTAAATATGCTCTAAACCTATTCAGTTTCTAAATAACTAGAGACTGTAGTTTAAATAATGCAATGTAAGTTGGTTAATAATAATCATTGTGGCCCAGGAGAGGACAGATGTGTAAATTTAGGCGTATGTCAACAGATGAAGCTAGATGCTTCAAACTGGTAAAAAGACAAACTAAAGGCTCTGTATCTGAATGCTTACTGCATTTGTAAGAAAATGAATGAATTACCAACTGAAATAGAAATAAATATGAATGATTTGATATCAACTGCAGAGCAATGACCCCTTGATGGCAAAGTCTGAGATCTAAGTATTCCCAAGTACATGACATTTCAAATGATCGTGAAACTGGAAGTGGATGGTGGGGTTATTCAGTTAACTAAGGTTGACATTAATACAATAGAACATAGGACAGCACAGAACAGAAACACGCTGTTCGACCAACCATGTCTGTGCTGACCATGATGGCATTCTAAACCAATCCCATCTATCTATACGTAGTCCATATCCCTCTATTCCTTGCCTGTTCATGTATGGCTCTTAAACACTGTTATCACTTTTGCTTCTGCCATTTTCCCTGGCAGCGCGTTCCAGGCAAGTGCAACCCTGTATTAAAAACAAAACTTGCCTCAAACGTCATCTTTAAACTTCCTCCTTCTAACCTTAAACTATGCCATTAGTATTTGACATTTCCACCCTGGGAAAAAGTCTCCAACTATCCACCCTGTCCTTGCCACTCATAATTTTATATATATCTCTCAGATTCACCCTAAGTCTCCAATGCTGTAGTAAAAACCCTCCAAGTTTTTCCATCCTCTCCTTATAGCTAATACACTCCAATCCAGGCAGCATCCTGGTAAACTCCTTTTGCATCCTCTCTAGTGCCTCCACATCCTTCCTATTATGTGGCAACCAAAACTGCACACAATATTCCAAATGTGGCCTAACTAAAGTCATAAATAGTTACAACATGACTTGCCAACTTTTATACTGCATGCCCTGACAGATGAAGGCAAGCATGTTGTATGCCTTTTTTAACCACCTTATCCACTTGTGTTGCCCTTTCAGGGAGCTACGGACGTGCACCGCAAAATCACTTTCATATATCAGTGCTCCTAAGAGTCCTCCCGTTTACTGTATGCTATCATCTTGCATTTGATTTCCCAAAATGTATCCCTTCACACTTGTTTGTATTAAACTCCATCTGCCATTTTTCTGCCCAACTTTCCAACTGTTCTATATCCTGCTGTATCCTTTGACAACCTTCTTCAGTATCCACAACTTCACCAATTTTTGTGTCATCTGCAAACTTAGTAACCTGACCACCTACATTTTCATCCAAACACAAGGTCCCAACATGATCCTTGCAGAACACTACTGGTCACAGACCTCCAAGTAGAAAAATACCCCTCTACAATTATCCTGTCTTCTATGACCAAGCCAATTTTGTATCCAACTTTTTGCTGTCGATCCCATGTGACTTAATCTTCTGGACCAGCCTATCATGAGGGACCTTGTCTTTAGTATTTAGTATAGTAAAAGATGACCATAAAAGTCAAGATGTAAAATCATTTTGAGCGGAGGTAAGAAATATCAAAGATAAAAAGTCACTTGTAGGAGTAGTTTACAGGCTGCCTAACAGCAGTAAAGTAGTAAGGGAGATAAGGAAGAAATAATGAGTGTTCTATTCAAAGCACAATGAACAAGTGAATCATAGAAAACCTGCAGCGGTAATTATTTGCTCAAAAGGTCAAGGTAAATTTTTGCTTGCCCAACCCCCCTCCCCAACCCAAACATGAACTAGTATATTGGCTGACTGCAACTTCCCCCCCCCCCTCAGTGGTCGAGAACGCCCTCGACCGTGTCTCCCACATTTCCCGCAACTCATCCCTCACACCCCCTCCCCGCAATAACAACCAAAACGGAATCCCCCTCGTCCTCACGTACCACCCCACCAACCTCCGGATCCAACGCATCATCCTCCGACACTTCCGCCATCTGCAATCCGAACCCACCACCAAAGACATTTTTCCCTCCCCACACTTATCTGCTTTCCAGAGGGACCACTCTCTCCGTGACTCCCTTGTCCGGTCCACACTCCCCTCCAGCCCCACCTCACCCGGCACTTTTCCCTGCAACCGCAGGAAGTGCTACACCTGATCCTACACCTCCCCCCTCGCCCCCATACCAGGCCCCAAGAAGACTTTCCACATCAAGCAGATGTTCACCTGCACATCTGCTAATGTGGTATACTGCATCCGCTGTTCCTGTTGTGACCTCGTCTACATCGGGGAAACCAAGCGGAGGCTTGGAGACCGCTTTTGCAGAACACCTACGCTCGGTTCACACTAAACAACTGCACCTCCCAGTCGCGAACCATTTCAACTCCCCCTCCCATTCCGCAGACGACATGTCCATCCTGGGCCTCCTGCAGTGCCACAACGATGCTACCCGAAGATTGCAGGAACAGCAACTCATTCCGCTTGGGAACCCTGCAGCCCAATGGTATCAATGTGGACTTCACAAACTTCAAAATCTCCCTTCACCCTACCGCATCCCAAAACGAGCTCAGCTTGTCCGCACCTCCCTAACCTGTCCTTCCTCCCACCTCAAGCCCCACCCCCATCTCCTACCTACTAACCTCATCCCGCCCCCTTGACCTGTTTGTCCTCCCTGGACTGACCTATCTCCTCCCTACCTCCCCACCTACACTCACCTTTACTGGCTCCATCCCTGCCTCTTTGACCGGTCTGTCTCCTCTCCACCTATCGTCTCTTCTATCCGCCTCCCCCTCTCTCCCTATTTATTTCAGGACCCCCTTCCCCTCCCCCATTTCTGAAGACGGGTCTAGGCCCGAAACGTCAGCCTTCCTGCTCCTCTGATGCTGCTTGGCCTGCTGTGTTCATCCAGCTCTACACCTTGTTATCCTAGTATGTTGGCTGTTGCTTTCTGCCCTATTCTTGTACAAAACACTGACATTTTCCCATGTGTGAGAAAAGTCCGTCAATGAGGGTGATGATAATCAATGTACTAATTGAACAAATCGGTTTGTCAAAGGTAGCTTGGAAGAAGCGTTTATTGAGTATTTTGGGATAGTTTTTAGTACTAAAACCAACCAGAAAGCAGACTATAGCTTGTTAGATCTGGTAATGTGAAATTATACAGGTTTAATTAATTACTTAAATGTACAGGCACCCCAATGATCATAATATGATTAAAGTTTTCTTCCAGTTTAAGAGAGAAGAGTGAATCTAAGACTCATCTTTTAAACTTAGACTCGCAACTGCTCTTATTTATGTGGTTATACAGTTCAAGTAAACTGCAAAATTAGCTTGAGAGGTCAGTGGAGATGCAGTGGCAGATATTTAGGTGATATTTCATGATACTCTATACACATGTATTCCATTGAGGAATCGAGAAGGGGTGTGATTCTCAGCTGACCAAGGAAGTTACAGATAGTATCAAATTGAAAGAAACAGCATACAATTCCATGAAGATTTGTGGCAGGTCAGAAGATCAGAGAGAATTTTAAAAATGTAAAGGATAAGAGAAAGTTAGCTAGAGGTGTATATAAAAAAAAAACAGGCACTAAGAGTTTCTACAGGTATTTGAAAAGGGAAAAAAGCAACTGAAACAAGCATTGGTGGTCTAGAAAATGAGTCTGGAGAATTAATGGCAACTAAAGAAATGGCACTTGAATTTTTCATCTATCCGTCTTGGAAGACATAGGTGACCTCCAAGAAATAATTGTAATCAAGAGGTGAAAAGGTTGCAGGAACTAAAAACAATTGCAAACACCAGGGAAATATACTGAGATGTTTATTAGAATTAAAAGACTGTGGAGTCCCCAGGTCCTAATGGACTTCATGCTTGGATCTTGAAAGAAATTGCTGCTAAGAGAGTGGATAAATTGATTTTAATTTTCCAAAATTTCCAAGATTCTCTAAAGGAGCCACTAGCTTAGAAAATAGTAAGGGTGACTCCTCTATTCAAGAAAGAAGGGAAACAGAAAGTAGGAAATCGCAGGCCAGTTATCCTAATATCAGTGATGGGGAAATTGCTGGAATCAATTACTAAGGCGGTTTCAGTCTAGATGTCTGAATCAGTAGATATTGCCATTTGTGTAACAGTATTAAACCATATTAATTCTAAACTTAATGATCATTAACGTCATATATTTCAGGATTCAACTATACTGGATTTTCAAGATTAATTCCTGTGCTGTTATCTTTGTTTTTTAGGCCATGGATCACCTACAATCATTCATCACAGACTGTGACAGAAGAACAGAAATTGCAAAAAAACGTTTGGCAGAAACCCAAGAAGAAATAAGTGCAGAGGTGGCAGCAAAGGTATAATCAATATTAGCTAGTGATCTAATGAAACGGGTATAGGCACAAAATAGGCTGGCTGCGCAGGAGTAGAATAAACAGGGTTTGTGTACTGCTTTAACATCAGTATAAGAAAATGGTAAGCTTGAGGGGAAAGATGTCAAACTTCTGCCAGTATATCTTCTAGTGGTCACAGTCTCCTTATTTTCTTTCACTAATTTAAAATAGTCTATTAATGTTTAAAAGACTACAAATTTAGTACGTGCATATGTGCAGCAGGCTGATTGCACCTTGATTTCATGCTTCTATAATTATTTTTGTAGTTAGAAAATTAAAAGGCTGTAGCAGTATAATTTATTCATCCTCTGTAATTGTCAGTATAGGAGATTTCCTCTGATGTCAAGTGACCTTCAAATTTCTCACTCCATAAACTTTGAAGTGCATTTTTACATTTTTCTCTTATCAGCAACTCTTATCTGAGATTTTCTCCTCCTGCTATTTATCTATAAGTCTATTGATATGTCATCCTGTATTTTCATAACCTGTAGTGATGTGTCTGCAAGTAATGTGATTATTAAAGATGTCGACATTTTTAACATACCTGCCAAAAATATCACATTTCTTTCTAAGTTTCATTTCAGTAGAATGTATAAGCATCAAAGAGTGGTTTATGTACTTCTGTCCCTTTCTGAAGCAGCACTTATGCTACAAATTGTAGTATATTTTGACACATTATATGAAGCTAATGAAAATAGCATGCATTTCCTTTTGACTTTTCTGAATGGTGTTGTGTAAGTTATTTGTTCAATGTGTCCTTTATAAGAAAAGGCATGTATATTCCCCAGACTTACTCAACATTACTGTTATACTGCTGTGGAACTTCTTTGCCACACAGCAAAACTAACTTCATAGGAATTGATGAGAGGTTTGCTTTGTAACACCTAAATGATCATGTAGATCTTGATTAGTCCTCATAATCTAAGGGAAATAAGAGATTTTGCAACGTATCACGTATAACTGACCAGAGCTGTGTAGAAGCTAGAAATTGATGCAGTTTTAAAGTCCTATTTGCGTCTAAACACACAAAATCTAGGTGAAGCCCCAATTTCTGTTTGCTTGTTGAGTAATTGATTTCAGGAACAATATGAATTCCTACAGTGCTCAAATGCCACTAGCTAGTCTTTAATATTCCAAATCACCAGTTACCAGCCCTATAGGGCAGTTTGTGCAGCAAGTGCTGGGTAGCAATGGCATCTGATTCTAATCCTTTCTACCAGTCACATAGCCAGATACCACAACTAAAGAATGGTCTACAAGGAGAGGTATCAAACAGTTCCTGAAGCCTAAGAAAATGTACTACAGCATGAGTTAGAAAGATGGAAAATGGGCATATAAAATCATATGGTGTGTTTCAGCTCTTACTATATGCCAGATAAACTGAAACTTATGCAAAAACACACAATTCTTTTAATAATATGACATTAAGACAGCTGACACAAACTTACATCAGGACAGTCTCTTAAATCTAAGTCCCTTAATTGTTTTTGAACAACAATGTTGATGTTAGGCTGTTTGTCATCTGTCAGGCTGAGCGAGTTCATGAACTTAATGAGGAAATTGGGAAGCTGCTTGCCAAAGCAGAACAGTTGGGAGCAGAAGGAAATGTTGAAGAATCCCAAAAGGTCATGGAGGAAGTTGAGAAGGCGCGAGCTAAGAAGAGGGAAGCTGAGGTAAGAGTGGCTTATATTGATCATTATTTCCCCCCCTAATTCTATTTGCTAATGTTTTAATGTGGTATAAAAGTGTGTAGATCAACCACTTTGAATTCTTTTGTTTTTTTTCCCCCTTTCCCCCCTCCCCAAAATAAACTTTTAATTCGCTGTCTTTTTTCTACTGGTGATTCAATTATCAAGAGCACAATTTGAAATTAAGTTGTCGAAAAGTATGTGTTACCTGTTACCATTTTAGAAGTCCCTAAACCAGTACAAATTTAATAAGAGCTGTGATCCGTGTCGAAGAAAATATGGAGTACAGTCTACAACCACATTAATTAAGCTGTAGTGTAATGCCAAACTTTTTTAGAAATAATATTTGTGTGTTATTTTGTATTTAAAGGCCCAATTGTCAAATTAAAATTAAGTGGCAAGCAATCAGTTTGTGAGCTTTATTTGGAGACCTTTGCCAGTAGTCAAAACCATGTTTGACATTTGATAAAACTTGAGCACAGGTACAGGCAGCACCCATGATTATGATCAGAGCAATCCTGAGGAGAACTAGAATACTGTTAGTGTCAGGCAGCTGAACCCAACTGGATTACAGATTTATGCCACATAAGGAACAAAATTACATTGAGAGAAAATGTATGCCATCTTTGTTTAAAACCTGTGAATGCATGGAGCATTAAACCTGCATCTCCTTAACTTTTAGATTAGGAAGCAAACGTTTGTTATAGTTTATTTTGTTGTGCTAGCCATGTTATGATTTACAATCTAATATTACTGTAATAAAATGCAGGTTGCACACTTCACTGTCCAATTGCATTTTTCAATTTTTGAATAAATGTGTCAAGTACCCTGCCAATTAAGGATCCCAGAAAATTACCACTGGCAAATGCTAATAGATGATATTCGCCTTGGAAAGGAGAAATGGGAGATGGTGGTAATGTTGGAGGTGGACACTATTTCAAGTATCTTGCATTAGTTAGTCTATTATTAACCTAAAGCTTTTCAACTTAATAAGAGAGAGTTAATATGCATTCTTTCTCCTTGCAGCTTTGTAGAAATCTAACATTTTTAGAGTTCACTGTTATGAGGCAATTGGCTAACATAACTCTATTAAACCAGCTTTATATTTCCATCTATTAATATTACGGTTGGTTACAAGGTGAAATTCAATTGAGACTAAAACTTAAATTCTAATCCAAAGTTGATTTTAATTTTAAGACTGACAAGAGTTGGTAGCGGTTTACTGGAGGAGCTGATCAACTTTTCAGATGTTTAGACACAAAATGTTAGGTGCCTTTCTGGCTACAGTGAAGAGAACTTTAAAAATATTTCTTTATTACACAAAAGATTATCTGTTTTGCTTTTAAATAATGAAACATATTACAAGTATTTTTTTCTATCTTTTTTCTATTCAAAGCACAATGCATAAGTAAATCACAGAAAACTTGCTGCAGTAATTATTTGCTCAAAAGTTGAAGGTAAATTCTGCTCGGCCCCTAACCCAAACATAAACTGGTATGTTGGCTCTTGCTTTCTGCCCTATTCTTACACAAAACATTGACGTTTTCCCATTTGTTAACAAGTTCTAGTAATTTTGCATGTATCTCTCTCCTGGTTACAAGACACAGTCAACACCAATACACTGATGCCTGTTAACTTTCCAATTGAAAATTACACTTTCTGGAATAGATTTTAACTGTGGACAGTTAAAATAATTGAAAAGAGCTCATAACATGGGATATCAAGTTTATCAATAACTCCTTTTGCCACACTGAAATTCACAGCTGTGAAAATTGCATGTTTTCCCCCTCTTTGGGTCAACCAAATGTTGCTTGGTTATCTAGTTGTGTGTGTATGTCTGTGTGTGTATGTTTGTATGTGTGTTTGGGGTCCTCTATACAACAGTTATTTAGTCAGACTACCCAGTTTTCTGAAAGAACAGACTTCTGTCATTAGAAATACAAGGGATTTTTAAGGTGCTGCTTAATTGTTGACAGGACCAGTTAATGGAATGCAAGCCCTTTTTGCCTCGATACAGTTTCAACCACTTTGAATAAGTGAATAAGAGGAAAATCCTCTCAGAAGTTTTGAAGTGTTTGCATAAGTATAGCTTAGCAATATAGTTTTTTTTTAATTTTCAACCTGCAGATCCATTGGGTCATTGGGAATTGTCAGACCATTAGATAAAAGCTTAGAATTTACTCAAACCCAATGCACCCTTTTGTGGTAGTTTGAATTTCTTGCTTCACAGAAGTTATTTGTAACAAACTTTGTGCACAGAGCAACTGATTATTTGGGTGATGTGTCATCAGTGCAGCTTACGCCACTTCAGTAGCTTGGCTATCTTTGGAAAGTGATTGCTCACATAGTTTGAGGGCTCTCCCTGGAAATTGTTTTGGAAGTGGTGCTGCTGCCTGTACCCACTATCATTATTTTTATGAAGTTGGGTACCCACCATCATCATTTTTGTGAGGATGGGCACAAAAGAATTCAAAGTGAGTGAATACCCACTTTAGATGATATGGGGAGAACCCTATATGAATTATGTTCCAGAAAATGTCATAAAAATGTAATATATTTTAATAAAATTTAAACTTTGTTTGTACAAATTAGGGAAAATTCAATCATGTAACTGGTCATGTAACTCCCTGGCTTACCCAACATTGCTGATATAATTGTAACTGATCTCTACCCTGTTTAAAAACGATAAATCTCAATTGTTAAATGAGTCCTCTGTTCTCAACAATGTACTTCTGTACTGTGTTATGGAGAAATACAGCTTGTAACATTGCATTTTTTCACCACCAGGGGGACACCATTGCTTCTCCTTCCTCCAGTGCATTCTGGGTAGGATGACATCACTGTGATTGCCTTGCACTCTGTAACTGTGTTATACAACTTCCACAGAACTTTACCTCATTTAGAACATTTTGCTGTAAAATTATAGATAAAATGCTTTATTAAGTTATATCCAACAATCCTAGACCAGGGTTACAGTTTTTATTCAGTAGACATATACCCAATTTTAGTGAGTTTCTTGCCACCACCGATCAGAAGCTTCTAACAGTCACATGCGTAAGTAAATATTACAAGAAGAAAACCGTAGTCAAGGTGTTGTCGATTATATGTGTGTGTGCGTGTGTGTCTGTATGCGTGTGCACGCGCACATGCGTGCATGTGTATATGTGTGTGATGGGAACAAATTTTTAATTCAGTCTGTAGTTCATTGTGAAAATCTTTTGAGACTGTGGCATTTTGACCGGTTCTGATCTGACATTTTAAATTTTACCTTGTAGTTAGTTATCAAACTTGCAAGGATGATCTCATCTTAAGTTTTTCTTAAAGTGATAACATCCAGTCAACGCAAAGCAAATTTGTTGCTGCTAATGCACAGTCAGATACACAAAGTGAGCACTTCATATTTTAAACCACTTCTCAACTTTGGCTCAGTTGCAGAACTCTTGCCAAGAGTTGGTCAGTTATGTGTAAGAGCCCACTATGATCCAAGCTGATGCCATCAAGTACTAAACAGTACTCTGTCAGATGAGATTAAACTGAATCTGATGCAAAATATCATGCAGCATTATTTTAATAAACAAAAAGAGGAACTACTTTTGGTTTCCTAAAAAGATTTCTTACCCAGCCAGCATAATTTTTCTGATTACTGTTTGTTGGGCATGCTTCATGCAAATGCACCTTAATTACATTGGTGGCAATGTTTCAAAAGTATTTTATTACCTGGAAGTCCAATGAAAGGAATTACAGAAATATACCTTCCTTTCTTCCATTCTTACCAACAGTATGTCTGGAGTTAATTTTATTTCAGATAAATTGTTCCCATGTTTCTGAAGTGTTTGCTGAACAAAATTTTAATAACGTTTCAAAGTGCACAATCGTGCTGGCAATTTTGCAGTATCAGTCAGCTCAGTTTTGGGTAAATGTACAGGTAACAACTTAGGGACAGTGAGAGAATTGTAAGGAGGTTGAAAACATCAAATGTTTGATAGGCAAACCAGAAATACTTCCTTTTGGGGAAGGACCTCCATAAGATGCAGTCTCTCCCTTTCCTATTAGAAGTCATATCATTAGTTACAGGAGAAAAGACATGCCTTTTTTAACAAGAATGGGCACAGCTGAACTATACCATTGGTTTCTAAAGTGTTGGCCACTACAATGCACTACATGTAATGATTGACTCGCAAGACAAATGTTTGCATCCTGTTGATCCGAAGAGAGAAAAGACTTGTAATTATTCCTGTTCCCCAACAGTAGCATGCGATTTGCTTCAATTCTGTTATTGTCTATGATATGCAGTTTATAAGTTGAGCATGATGATTTTGTGCTCGTTCACAACTAGGCATCTGCATGCGTACTCTGAATTTTGACCTTTTCATTTGCACTGGTTCCATATCGAGGCATTGGGCTGGAATGGAAGAACATGCTGCTGATGAAAACCAGCACATGTCTTGATGAAGCCAAAGCTAGAAATCTTTGTTGACCACATGACTGTTGGGTGAGAAATCAATAAAATTGACTTGTAGGTTCACTCATGGTGTACTACCTAACTTAAACATGTTATTTAGTTAAACTCTCCATTCTTTTAAAAAATACCCAAAAGCCCATTGTATCCCCTATAAAAAACTTATCAGTTTTAGCTCAAAATAAATCACTTATGAAACAGCGAGAATGGACAAGCAATTTGCATTCTACTGGAAACATTCTAGTTCAATTAAGTGTTTTCCTATTGCAATATTGCATTATTTATTGTGCTGCCAATTGAAAAATTAAAAAAAGTAAATTTAAACTTTGTGTAAGAAACAGAATCTGGACAATACCATCTTTGTAAGTCATGGTTTTCGTGCATTTACTTGTCCCTAGCAGTTACCCAGTGTCTTCCTTATGAATGATTAATTCAGTCTATAGTTGAATTCCTGTTCGGTTATGCACTTCGTTCTTTTTAGCTTGTGGCATAACAGCCCCCACAGCCACATCAAATTATGTGTCCTGAAAGTGAAATCAGTTGTTGCTAATATTATTTATCTTTTTCAACTACAGGATAGCAACAGTGATTACTTTAATATTAATCATAAATTTTTTAACAGACTGTCAAGTACAGTATTCTTTTGCCTGTGAAATATTGCTGCAGACCGAATCATTGGTATTCCTTCGTTTTCCTACCAGAAAATATACTGAGCAATATGTAAAGTATCCCTTCTTCCTCCCCTGCTCCCCTCCCTGACCTATACCTCGCAAAACTCCTGGGACAGGCCAGGTGCTACTTGGACTCTGGTAAGCTAACATTGCTACATCATCACCTTTGCAACATTGGAAATTTTAGGAACAGCTGAAAGGCCATTTTTGGTCCTTGTCAACTCTACCGTCCAACTTTATTCCTTGATCACTTTGTTATCTGGGAGTTAGTCTGTAAGTCATGGTGTTATCCTTCAAAAGCCTGAACTCATAATTTATGCCATATATTCAAAACCGTTTTGTATGAAGTTGTTGAGTGTGGAGTAGTTCTGCCCGAGTGTACTGTTTTGGAAACTTCTGTTCCTTAATTTTGATCTCTTCATCATTGCATTTGATTGCACCAATTTTATTAGTTTCCTTTTATTCCTTTTCAACCGGATCACCTGAGTCATGTTTTACTTTTAAGATAAGCCTAACTTTAACCTTTACTCGTAACTAAGTGTCTGAAACCTTGGTTTCATTTTTTGCCCTCAAGCCATGTTTCTTGAGGGTATTAATGTTCTTTGTTATGTATAGATGGCATACTAGGTGATAAACATCATTTCTGTCTTGTAGAAATTTAATGTTCTAGACTGCAAACAATGTTAAATACTATGTTTACAAACTAGCAGTTTTTAATAAAAGGATACATGCTCGCAACTGTATTGGACGGGGTGGGGGTGGTGGTACTGTATTTTGCAAGAGAAAGTTGCTTCTGCCAGACAGTATTTGCACAACAGTTATTGTAACTGATTAAGAGTAGCATATAATTTTCCCACATCCATACTGCTGTTTGAGCATGTAAGTGCAGTACTAAATAAACTTGATCTGTAGGCAAGGTAAATGATTTTTTTTAATAACTAAATTATATAATGTAAGGTTTAAATTGCCAATTGCTTACATTTCCTGTTCATAGGATATGACACCCATGGTGAGGCGTGCATTTTTTTTTTGATCATCCTTAATTGCCCTTATGAAATTACTGGTTTTTGATTGTAACAAAATAATACCCATGCCTGATTAAAATTAATATCCACATTTCTCAAGTGTCTGGGCCTTTCTAATGGGAGAGGGCTACAGGAGAAGCCCTTTCAGACTGTCATGTTTTCTGATTAAGACAAATTATTAGGAAATTTGAACTTTTTGAATTGAAAAGCAATATACTATTTTAAGTCACTAACGTAGAAACACAGAAAACAGAAGCAGGCGTTGGCCCTTTGAGTCTGCTCCATCATTCACAGCTGATCCTCCAACTCCATACCCTGTTCCTGCTTCTTCCTCATCCTTTGGATCCCTTAAGCCCTAATAACTGTATCTAATTCTTTCTTGAAAACATTGTGTTTTGCCCTCAACTGCATTTTATAGCAGAGAATCCCAGAGGCTCACCAATCTCTGGGTGAAGAAATGTCTCTTCACCCCAGTCCTAAATTGCCTGCCCTGTGTCTTTAAACTGTGACCCCTGGTTCTGGGCTCCCCCGGTCATTGGGAACATCCTTTCTGTGTGTGCCCTGTCCAGTCCTGTTAGAATTTTATAGGCTTCCATGTGATCATCTGCTAATTCTTCTAAACTACAATGAATATAAGCCTGACTAATCCAGTCTTTCTTCATTCAGGAATCAATCTGGTAAATCTTTGTTGCACTCCCTTCATAACTAGAACATCTTTCCTCAAATAAAGAGTCCAAAGCTGCACACAATAATTTAAAAGTGTGAAGTGATTCATTTTGGAAGGTCGAATTTGAATGCAGAATACAGGGTTAATGGCAGGATTCTCTGCAGTGTGGAGGAACAGAGGGATCTTGGGTCCATGTCCACAGATCCCTCAAAGTTGCTACCCAAGTTGATAGGGTTGTAAAGAAGGCATATGGTGTGTTGGCTTTCATTGCCAGGGGAATTGAGTTTAAGAGCCGAGAGTTTATGCTGCAGCTCTATAAAACTCTGGTTAGACCACGCTTGGAATATTGTGTTCCATTCTGGTCACCTCATTATAGGAAAGATGTGGAAGCTTTAGAGAGGGTGCAGAGGAGATTTACCAGGATGCTGCCTGGACTGGAGGGCAGGCCTTATGAGGAAAGGTTGAGGGAGCTAGGGCTTTTTTCATTGGAGCGAAGAAGGAGGCGTACAAGATGATGAGAGGCACAGATGGAGTGGATAGTCAGAGACTTTTTTTCCCAGGGCGGAAATGACTATTACAAGGGGGCATAATTTTAAGGTGATTGGAGGAAGGTATAGGGGAGATGTCAGAAGTAGGTTCTTTACACAGAGAGTGGTGGGCGTGTGGAATGCGCTACTGGCAATGGTAGTGGAATCAGAGACTTTTAAGCGACTCTTGGATAGGCACATAGAGGATAGCAAAATGTAGGGTATGCAGGGTAGATGGATCTTATTAGGATAATAGGTCAGCATAACATCGTGGGCCGAAGGGCCTGTACTGTGGTGTACAGTTCTATGTTCAAATAATCCAGCTGTGGTGTCACCGAGGCTGCAATTGTACAGTGCATGGTATCCCTGCCCCTATACTTGAATTACCTCACTATGAAGACCAACATACCATTTGCCTTCTTTACCACCTGCTGCACCTACATGCTTACTTTCAGCAATGGGTATACAATGACACGCAGGCCCCGTTGCATTTCCCTCTTTCCCAATCTATAGCCATTCAGATAATCTGCTTTCCTATTTTTGCTACCAAAGTGGATAACTTCATGTTTATCTACATTATACTTCATCTGCCATGAATTTGCCAACTCAACTTGTTCAAGTTCAAATTCAAATCACACTGAAGCATCCCTGCTCACAGTTCACCTTCCCACTCAGCTTTGTGTTGTCTACAAATTTGGACAGACTGCATTTAGTTCCCTCATCTAAATCATTTATATATGTTATGAATAGCTGGAATCTAAACGCTGATCCCTGCGGTACACCACTAATCACTGCCTGCCACACAGGAAAGGACCCATTTATTCCTATTCTTTGTCTCTTGTCTCCCAACCAGTTCCTTAACCATGTCAATACACTACCCCAATCCTCTGTGCATTAATTTTACATGCAATCTCTTATGTGGGGCCTAATCAAAAGCCTTCTGAAAGTCCAAGTAAACTATGTCCACTGACTCCCCTTTATCCACTCTACTACTTACCTCCTCAAACTTCTAGTAGATTTTTTTAAGCATGATTTTCCTTTGTAAATCCATGCTGACTCTATACTCCTGTCACTGTTTTCCAAGTACTCTACTATTAAATCTTTTATAATAGACTATTGCATTTTCCCCGCTACTGATGCGAGGTTATATACCTCATAATTCCCTGGTTTATCACGTATTTTTTTAAATAGTGGTGTTGCATTAGCTCCCCTCCAATCCATAGGAACTGTTCTAGAATCTGTAAAATCTTGAAAGGTGATCACCATTGCATCCACTATTTCTCTGGCCACTTAAGTATTTTGGGATATAGTTATCAGGCTCTGGGGATTTATTGGCCTTTAATCCCATCAATGTCCCAAACACCATTTCCCTACTAATACTGATTTCCTTCCATTCCTCCTCCTCACTAGACCCTGTATTCCCCAGCATTTTGGGGATATTATTTGTGTCCGCCTTTTTGAAGACAGAACTAAAATATGTATTTCACCGACTAGGAAATAGAAAGGACTGCAGGTGCTGGAAGTTAGAGTCAATAAAATGTGAACCTGGAGGAGCACAGCAGGTCTGCTAATGAGTCTAGACCCGAAATGTTGACTTTCCTGCTCCTCAAATGCTGACTGACTTGCTGTGCTCCTCCAGCTCCACATTTTATCAACACTAAAATATGTCTTTAATTGGTCTACTACGACTTTGTTCCCTATTATAATTTCCCCTGTTTATTTATTTTTATTAGGATCTGCCCTGTTAACTGGTTGGAAGACTTGGCAGTGTTCAACAAATCAGCATTGCCATTGGAGTCACTGTTGCCATTTTACAATTATTTTAACCTGGCTCATTCTAGCTCTTCATTTTTTTTTGTTTAATTTGTTAAATTTATACTTTCAGGATGATATTGGTACTTAACCAATTATGGTTAAAGATAAAAAACACTGAAAATCAGCAATATTTTAATTTGGCTGAGAAAGAAGCAAGACTAGGAAATTTAAACCTGGCTAGGCAGTTTTCCTTTGTCAGGACCAGTCTTTTATAATATCAGAAAATTGGCTAAAGTAGAGAATGTTTACATGGCTTATTTCTGTTCCCTTTCTCAGGAGGTTTATCGGAATTCCATGCCAGCCTCCAGCTTCCAGCAGCAGAAGCTGCGAGTCTGTGAGGTGTGCTCGGCATACTTGGGTCTTCATGATAATGATCGACGCCTTGCAGACCACTTTGGTGGCAAACTTCACCTGGGATTCATTGAAATTAGAGAGAAACTGGAAGAATTACAGGTGAAGAAATTTTCCATTCTCAAAATTTTGGGAAATGCAAGCTTTCTGTACTAACGTGCTAACTTTTGTGATTCACATAACGGGTTATCACAATGCCTCTGTCCCTCAGAATCTTGTACTAAATGATATGCTCAATTTCTATTTCCCCTGCAAAGTGGGCAAGTTTACATTTTCCCATGTTATACTGCCATCTGCCAAATTTTTGCCCACTCACTTTGCCTATCTGTATTCCTTTGCAGTCTTCCCACGTCTTGTTCACAACTTATTTTCCTACCTGTGTCTGCAAATTTATTCACCATGTGTTTTATCCCTTCATCAAAGCTATTACAATAACTTGTAAATAGTTGAGCCTATGGCACTCCATTCATCACAACTTGCCAACCTGAAATTATGCCTACTTTCTGCTTCCTGTCAGCTAACTGATTCTATATCCACGATAATATGCTATCCCTAGCACCGCGAGCTTGTATTTTGTTCGGTACTTTTGATGCTGGTACGTAATCTCACACCTTCTGAAGATCTAAGTACAGTACATCTACAGATCATTTCTAACCCACAGTATTTACTACTTCCTTAGCACTCCATTAAATTAGTGCATTGAGTATTGGAGTTGGGAGGTCATGTTATGGCTGTACAGGACATTGGTTAAGCCACTATTGGAATACTGCATGCCATTCTGGCCTCCCTGCTAAAGGAAGAATGTTACGAAACTTGAAAGGGTTCAGAAAAGATTTACGAGGATGTTGCCAGGGTTGGAGGGTTTGAGCTTTAGGGAGAAAGTGAATAGCCTCAGGCTATTTTCCCTGAAGCATTGGAGGCTAAGGGGTGACCTTATAGAGATTTATAAAATCATAAGGGGCATGGATAGGATAAATAGACAAGGTCTTTTTTCCTGGGGTGGGGGAGTCCAAAACTAGAGGGCATAGGTTTACGGTGAGAGGGGAAAAATTTAAAAGGGCCACAGGGGCAAGTTTATCATGCAGAGGGTAGTGCGTGTTTGGAATGAAATGCCAGAGGAAGTGGTGGAGGCTGGTCAACATTTAAAAGGCATCTGGATGGGTATATGAATAAGAAGGGTTTAGAGGGATATGGGCCAAATGCTGGCAAATGGGACTGGATTATTTGGAACATCTGTTCAGCATGGACAATTCGGACCAAAGATTCTGTTTACGTGCTGTATATCTCTGTGACTCTAAACACAATTTCCCTTAATTGGAATTCCTTTATTAATCCACACTTGTCCAAAAGCCTGTTAATTTTGTCCTTGATTATCGGTTCTAAAAGTTTCCCCACCACTTAGACTAAATTGAATGCCTTGAAGATACTGAGTTTATCCTTAAATCCCTTCTTTAAACAAGGATGTAATACCTTCAATGTCCATTTCCCTACACTACCTCTGTAACTAAGGAGTATTGAAAAATTATTTCATCTTTGTAAAAATATTCTTTATTCATTAATATTATGACAAAAACATTTCAAATTAAATATTCCAGAATGTACAATAATATTCAGCTTGTACCCATACAGCATGTTCCACTCAATACAATTTTAATAGACCTAATGTTTGTAATGCACACTTCATATCAGGTAGACAGTCTGAGGACAAAACATTTTAAATTGAAAATTACAGCAAGTGTATAACTGGTACTCAGCAATTTTCACCTATGCTCTCCTCTAATTGGGGAAGGGTTGGTATAGTAGTAAAGTTACAGAACTGTTTATCCAGAAACAAGTCTAATAAAAGGGCATTGGTTTGAATTGCGCTGTGACAGATGGTGAAATTTCATTTCAGTAGAAATCTGGAATAAAAAGAGAGTCTCATAGAAACCACGTTACCAGTATCATTTGATCTGAAAACTCATCTGATTCACTGAAGGAAGGAAATTTTACATTGTTATCTGGTCTGGCCTACATATGGCTCCAGATCCACAACAAGATGATTGACACTTAAATGCCTTCTGAGCAGTTAGGAATGGGCAATAAATGTTGGCCGAACAGCAATGCCTGCATCCTGTGCAAGAATTTTATTAGCTCTCCTGATTTCCTCACTGAACCTGCATACAGGTATTTCTGCTATAAAGCGTGCTTCATTAACATGAATTGGCTGTAACACAATTGCTGAACAGTGGACACTGTTTGGATAACGCAAACTTTCTATTGTACAGTATAATGACTTCCCTATGACGCAATTTTCTATGGCGATTTTCTATAAGCACGAGATCACACGAACTCAACTATCGTGTTATAGGAGAAATATCTGTACTAAATGTTTATAATTCTTGCACGAAGGTCCTTCTGATTCTCAGAATTATAGAGTCATACCACATGGAAACACCCCTCGGTCCAGCTACTTGCTACATCTTGCCAATGGGAAAATCACTCGCGTAGAAAGTTGAAATCTTAGCGGACATTTCAGTTTCCTTCACAAGTAGATTAAATCCTGGACAAAAGCTATGCACTCCCAATTTACATTCTACTCTCTGCTTCCTGATAACTAGTCAATCCTCTATCCATACCAATATGTTAACTGCGATACCATGAGCTTTTATTTCTGCAATAACTTTTTATATGGCATTTTATCAAATGTCTTACAGAGTTCCAAGTACAGAACATCCACCAGTTCAGTTTTGACTACGACCCATGTTATTTCCTTAAAAAATTCCAATAAATTGCTGAAATATGATTTCCCGTTCATAGGTCATTCTACAAACTAATGGGACCTTTCCAGAACATAGGGAATGTTGAAAAATTGAAACCAATGCTTCCACACTCTCCTCAGCCACTTCTTTTCCGACCTTGGGACAAAGGCAACCAGAACCTTGGGACATATTTAATTCTTAATTGATGGGATGAGGGTGTTACTGGCTAGGCCAGTGCTTACTGCCCACAGGAGTAGTTAAGAATCAGCCACATTGTGGGTCTGGAGTCACATGGAGGTCAGACTAGGTAATGATACCAGTTTCCTACCCTGAAGGACATTAGTAGGCAATGGATTCATGGTCATCATTAGATGCAGATTTGTATTGCTGGGGTGCGATTCAAACCCAGGTACCCAGAACACTACCTGAGTCTCTGGATTAACAATCCAGTGATAATACCACTAGGCCATTGCCTACCCAAAACTTATCAGCCTTTGGTTCTTGAAATTGGACTTTGGTGAAGAGCCCACTAATGTGGTGTATATGGGATGGTGTATGAATATTACGCATGTGGTTTTTCAGAAGGTATCTGATAAGGTTCTGCACAGGAGATTATTGGAAGTGACTTGGTGACATGAATTGATAATTCGTTGTGATTTTGGGATCCTGAGAATACATAGTAGAAAATGTATTCTACTGGAAGGTTGTGGGAAGTATTATTCCTAAGGGATCTGTGCTGTGGCCACATCCTTTCTTGAGGTGTATCCATTTTGGATCCAAGAATGACAAATTGGAAAATGTTTAGAATGGCACCAGATTAGGAACTGTTGAGAAGCCAAGAGATTTGAGATCTGAATGCAAAGTACAGAATATCACCATAAAGCTAATATTCCAGATGGAGTCTGACCATACAACTATAGCTCCATTTTACTGAAGCATCTCATCCTCGCTATTAGATTTATATACTTTGGAGATAGATGGCAGCATTCAGTCAGCCATTTAAATCATTTCAAATATTGCTTTTTATTCATTTAAATATATGGTGCTAGACTGGACATTCAAAAAGTTAAATCCTTTGTTAACATGGAAAACTTCAAGCTGAAGATTGTACAGTAGGTTTCCTCAGTTTTATAAATAGAGTTGTAAAGATAATGTTGCCATAGCCCTACCGAACGCGGAGCTGTGTTCTCGTTAGAGAGGAAGAGAATTGACTGATCATAGTTTAACCTGAGGGTGACCCTACATCAGGTGAGTTTGAGGAGGAGTGTCCTTCGTGGCAACATCAGTTAGTGCAAGAATTGAACCCATGCTGTTTGCATCTCTATCCAGCTAACTAAGCTAGCCAACCCCTGTAGAGCTATACAAATTAATTAAAGCAAAGTAACCATTGGTTAGATCATTCATAGAAAACTATGATCTTAGGTGCTTTACTTCAGCAAAGATTTCAAAGTTGTGTGGGGTGGCAAGAAAAGACTAATTGAGCTCAAAGTTAAGGAAATTACCAAAAGAAGCAATTGAAATGTGAAGGAAAGCTTTTGCGCGCAGTGAATGGTTAGGATCTAGAATGCACTGCCAAAGGCAGGTTCAATCAAGTCATTCAAAAGAAAATTGGATTATTACTAAAAAGGAAGCATATGCAGGGCTGCAGGGAATAGCTCTAGATGAATTGCACCTCTGGAAAGGCAGCATCGAGTCAACAGTGGTCTCCTTCTGTGCTGTAGCAATTCTGTGAAAAGCTACAAGTTGTATTTTCTTTCAAGAAGATTTTGTGGAAATAAAGCTCAGAGATTTAATTAGTTCCCTTGGTAGTTTTAATTGATTGATGTTTGTTGATTGGTAACTTCTTTGTTTCTTTTTGCTACATGTAGATTCATAGGTTCCATATCTGTCAAGTTTTGCCTTTTTTCGCTGCTTGGGGAAGTATAATTTATGCTTTGTGAGTGAGGCCATAATACCATATAAAACCTGCATATATGAAAATCAAGAAATGTCTTTTGTCACATGGCCATAACCAAAGCTTTCAGGGTTCATCAAATAGCGACAATTTGTATTTGAATTACAAGTTTCCTTGTGTTGAATTCAGTTTGTTACATCAGCTAGTGTAGTTTTTAATTCAAATTTTGCTGTAATGATTTCTACCTCAACAATCTGTGGAGTTGTAGTCAAGGACTGAGCATCTTGACACACCTTCATGTCCTTGATTTAATGTATTTGTTACTGGAATAATTAGGTTACTGAGTGCAATCCTGTTTTCTTTTTCCTGAAGAAACTTGTTGCTGAGAAACAGGAGAAAAGAACTCAAGAGCGTCTGAAACGAAGAGAGGAGAGAGAAAAGGAGGAAAGAATGAAAAGAAGGTAGTGGCTTGTTCTTTACATATTTCGGAGGTGCACAACACTTGGCTATTTCTGTGCAAAGCAGTTCAGTTTAACTTGCTTCATAAAAGTTGAAATACCGCCTCAGTTGAAATTATAGTCCACTGGTTATATTTCATAACAAACAACATAGCTGAATGATATCTTGCATGTATCAGTTTATTCATGTTAATGTCTATTTGACCTTGATGGTTATCACCCTTCCAATCCAGCCTGATTCTGATGTTCCAGTGCCATTATGTTGCCAATAATTATGAGTATCCTTCAAAATTCAAATTTCCAATGTTTGCTAACTCCCTGCTGTTTAGACTATGATAAGGTCTTTGCTCCTGATGGAATTGTTCCTTTTCCCCTTTTTTTAAGACCATAAAACACAGGGGCAGAAATAGACTGCTATCTCAGCCTTGAATATACTTAAAGACCCAGTCTTAACAGCCCTCTGTGGTAAAGAATTCCACAGATTCATGACCTTCTGAGAGGAGAAATTCCTCCTCATCTCTGCCTTTTAGAGTGTGGCCTTTTAACTTAATTGCTGTCTTGCATTACTCTTTCACTTCCACTTCACATTTTCTTTGCTTGTTAGAGTCAACATTGATTTATGTAGGTTGGGTCATGGCACTGTAAACAACTTGAACGTTGTTCAGAGAGGATACTATTACAGTGTATTGGGAACTTGTATTGATCTTACCCAAGTGGACTTAAAGTATTTAATAAGGATTTTCAGCAGAGATTATTAGCAAACTAGGGAACGTGACAGACAATTTGGATGTAACTGGATACCACAAAGATAATGAGTTTCATTCTGATTTGGTTATGCCGGTTAATGGCAGGACAAGAGGGAGAACTCCCTTACTCATAGTGCCGTAGATTCTTTGCAGCCATCCCGAGAACAGGCAAAGTGTCAGTTTCATATCTTAGTTGAAATCTTGGCAGACATTTCAGTCTCCTTCACAAGTAAGTTAAATCTAGGACAACACTATGCTCCCACCACTTACATACATTTATCAGGATTTGAGGCATTGTATTCTGCATTTTTACACGTGTGCAATAGGATACGGTTATCCCAACGTTTAACTTAATAATTTTTGTCATAGACTGTTGCAAAAATGTCAAATTTCATGATTTATTTGTGGGAGTAGTATTTGTAAACATGAGTAATACAAGAAACCATGGTGAGAATTTGGTAAGCCACCCCAACTCAAACATGGGCCTTACTAGATTCTTGCTTAGTGACTCCAATTCAGAAATATCCCCGATTTTATGATGGCCTCCACCTCCTGGTCCACAGCCAGTTTACATATCCTGACAGATTTTCTCTTTCTTTACCTGTTTCTAAGCTGTTTCAGATCCAGTCATCAAGTGACTGCTTCCAAGCTATGCTTCAGTGAGTAAACACATAGATAAAATGAAAATAAAAGGTTACCTCCCTGCATAACATATTCAATGTGGCATAGCTTTTTTGGATTGGCAGGCAGTAATCAGTGGAGTGCTACAGGGATTAAGGTTGCGGCCTCAACTATTTGCGGTTTATATCAGTGTGACTAAATTAAGGTGCCATTTATATGCTAGCTAAATTTGCTGATGATACTAAGGTAGATAGGAAAGTAAGTTGTCAAAGAGGAGCTGGACAATTTACAAGGGGTTATAGACAAGTTAAGTGAATAGACAGAAAAAAAAATCAACTTGAGTCTCATGGGGAAAATGTGAACTTTTCCATTTTGGCAGAAAGAATAGAAAAAGAGCATATTATTTAAATGAAGACAGGCTGCAAAATTCAGAGGTATTGAGGGATCATGATTACTGGTACGTGAGGCAGACAGAATGTTGTCATTTATTTCAAGGAGAATGAAACATAAAGTAAGGAACAGAGGGCTCTGGAAGCTCAGTCTTTAAGTATGTTTAGGTAGAGATTGATGAATTTCACATTATTAATGGCATACACAGTTATGGGATAGGAGTAAAAGACTGATGTTCGATCATCCATGATCATATCGAATGGCAAGGCAACTCGATGGGCTGAATGGTCCTACTCTTATTACTATGTTCTGGACTTTAGAAGAATGAGATGTGATCTTATTGAAAGAGAAAAGATCTTTGGGGGTATGGAGAGCACGGTTCCTCTTGTGGAGGAGATGAGAACCAGCAAGCACAGTGAGATGGTGATAAGATTTTTTCATCTGTCAGAGGGTTGACAGCATGTGGAATTCTCTTCCCCAGGAGGCAGTGGAGGCAGGATTATTGAATTTCTTCAAGGGCGGTTGGATATTTGACATTCAAGGGAGTTGAGGCTTATGGGATGTAGACAGGAAAGGTGAGTTTAGACCACAGCCAGATTTTCCTATTCATTTGTGGGATGTGGGTGCCGCAGACTGGCCAGCATTTCTTGCCCATGCCTAGTTGCCCTTGAGAAGGTGGTGGTGATCAGCCTTCTTGAACCGCTGCAGTCCACAATGCCGTTAGGGAGGGAATTCCATGATTTTGACCCAGCGACTGAGGAAATGACAATATATTTCCAAGTCAGGATGATGAGTGGCTTGGAGGGGAACTTGCAGGTGGTGGTGTTCTCATATATCTGCTGCCCTTGTCCTTCTAGATGGAAGTGGTCATGGGTTTAGAAGGTGCTGTCTGTGGATCTTTGGTGAATTTCTGCAGTCTATCTTGTAGATAGTACACACTGCTGCTACTGAGCATCGGTGGTGGAGGGAGTGGATGCTTGTGGATGTAGTGCCAATCAAGCAGGCTGCTTTGTCCTGGATAGTGTCACGCATCTTGAGTGTTGTTGGGGCTCCACTCATCCAGGCAAGTGGGGAGTATTCCATCACACTACTGACTTTTGCCTCATAGATGGTGGACAGGTGTTGAGGAGACAGGAATTAAGTTACCCGCTGCAGTATTCCTAGCTTCTGGCCTGCTCTTGTAGCCACTGTGTTAATGTGTTGAGTCCAGTTGAGTTTCTCGTCAATGATAACACCCAAAATGTTGATAGTGAGGGATTCAGTGATGGTAACACCATTGAATGTCAAGGGACGGTGGTTAGATTGTCTGTTATTGGTAATGGTCATAGCCAGATCAGCCGCAGTCTTTCTGAGGGTAAGACAGGTCCTAAATCCTATGTTTCAAAAGCCTACAGTGCAGTCGAGTGCTACCATTCGTATTAATTTTCCACAAAAATCTGCAAACAGGGTGCAGAAGTAGGCTACTTGGTCTCCTGAGCTACCTCCACCATTTATGAAGGTTACAGTTGAACTAATAGCACCACAATCCTCCCTACCCAACAACTTTTCACCCTCTTCACTGCCTTATAAAGAAGAGCATCCCAGAAACAGTCAACCTTCTTTCGTACAATGTGGATTCCAGATTGGGCAAACGAAGGGGAAGAGAAGTAAGATTGTAGAGTAGCATATGCTTTTTGCCTCAAAGGATACATTTAAAATTAAAATTAATTGTTTTAATTTTTTATCTCACACATCCCAGGTATACCACATTGCTTTGGAAATAGGTTATGCGGGGAGGAACCCTTTTATTTTCATTTTATCTATGTGTTTACTCACTGACGTATAGCTTAAAAGCAGCTTGGAAACAGTCACTTGATGACTGGATCTGAAACAGCTTAGAAACAGGCAAAGAAAGAGAAAATCTGTCAGGATATGTAAACTGGCTGTGGACCAGGAGGTGGAGGCCATCATAAATCGGGTATAGTTCTGAATTGGAGTCACCTAAGCAAGAATCTAGTAAGGCCCATGCTTGAGTTGGGTTGTCTGCAATCATAAGATACTTAACGAGAGTTGGAGAGTCATTTAGCTGAATTCTGGTGGAAAGGACCTCAAGAAATTTCACCCCTCAGCAAAAAATGGGAACACTGAGGAGAATCATAAGTGAGTTTCTGAAGGCTGTGGCACACCTTGGTATGGTCCCGGGAAAAGTACAGAAACTGTCAAAATCCCGTATAGGGGAACTCCTGGTGGAAACAAAAGTCGAACCACAAGTGCCGTGTTGAGAATTTTTGGCTTAAAGAGTAAGTTTTTGTAAAATATAGTGTTAACAATGCTCGCTTTGTTTAACTCTTAAGTAGTAAAGGGTTTTGTTTGTAACTTGAGATCTTGTAGCATAATTCTTTCAGTAAATAACTAGGGTTTGAATTTCATTTACAACGTTAATGGTCTCCCTCAAAAGAGAAGGAAGGTTTACATTTATTGCATCTTAAAATGTGTCCATGAAATGTCTGAATTCATCATTAAGTTTGTAGCAGTAGTTTGTTCCATATCTTGAGTTTATTAGCTGAGAAATTCCCATATGCAGCATGAATACTAGAACACTTTATTATCGCAAACACAGATTCACTTATGTTCATTGTTAATACATTTCTCTTAATATTGTAGGACCAGATCTCGCAGCAGGGATCGTAAAAGGTACGTTTGTTTTAACATCTTAGCTAATACATTTACATTCATGAATACTTGGACTTGGGAAATGAAAAGAGAACCTGAGGCAAAAGTGTTTCAGTCAAAAGCGTAAAGTGAACGATCTCTTTGTTTCCTCTCAAGGTACTTACTGTTATAGACATCAATTTGGTTCACTCCAACTGGCCATATTCAGAAGCTAAGTCCACGTAATACAGTTAGAAATATAAAATTTCAGCTTTATGGGCAACTGCTCCACAAAAGCATTTCTAATATTCTCATTGTTTTGTTGCTGATTTTAATTAATCAGGCAATTATTATGGCTATCAAGGAAATACCTCCTGACCAGTAACTTTTTCAAACTCTGCTTAGATTCACACAGTTTTTAAGACTCTGACCTAAATACAATTTAAACATGCTAATGAACAATAATTCCAGAGTTGATTGTAATTGCTGTTGACATAAAGCAACTTTTAACCTAGGGCTCATAAAAAGACTGCCTGCTTGATATGAAAATTCAGATTAACAGTTAACTGTTCCCGCCGCATCTCCATGGCAATGATGACCCAACCAATCAACACCTTCTTCTTGTGCCATGGATTGATGTCACTTTCTTCAAATCTGTTTCTTGCATCATAATCATTATGAATGCAAGATCGAAAGCCAAAGCTTTTCGCAAGGTGATAGTCTAGTGGTATTATCACTGGACTACTAATCCAGAGACCCACATGATATTCTGGGGACCCAAGTTCAAATCCTGCCACAGCAGTTGGTGGAATTTGAATTCAATTTAAAAATCTGGAATCAAGTATCTACAGATAACAATAAAATCCATTGTCGATTGTCAGAAAAACCCATCTGGTTTACTAACATCCTTTAGGGAAAGAAACTGTCATCCTTACTCAGTCTGGCCTATATGTGACTCCAGGCCACAACAATGTGGTTGATGCTTAGCTGCCCTCTGGGCAATTAGGGATGGACAGTAAATGCTGCCTAGCCAGCAGTTCCCTCATCCCATGAATGAATAAAAAAAAGGTACTTTACGTTGTAATGATGTACTGTTTCAAAGGAACTGAGTGGGAAGATGTCTTTCTTTTATTGCAATTCCATTCTGTAATATAATCCACTATCTGTCACACGAGATTGTTGGAATACCATGTGCAGGAAATAATTGAGCCCATCTTATTCAATTCATGTGGAATTATTTGAAATTGGCACTTCTTTTCTAAATTAGAGTATCTCTGGCAGTGTTTTAGAGGGTTTGAAATGGGTATAGCAGAATCATCACCGATAGCAGAATCATCACCGATAGCAGAATCATCACCGATAGCTGACAACCAAATTGAAAATAGGAACAGAACTCATGATTTGACATTTTTGAGCTCGTTGTTGTGTCTGGAAGATTGTAGAATGCTAAAGCAATAGATGACCTGCTGTTTCTCGAGTTTACATTGCACTTCGTTGGAACACTGTAGGAGGTTGAGGCCAGACTGCGATGGGATAGGGCAAGATTTAAAATAATCTTGCTTGTAAACTGAATAGAAGTGTTCTGCAAATTGGTCAGCTTATCTGTGTTTTACCTCCACTGTATAGAGGGGACTTCTTCATGAGCTGTGAATACAATTTATTAAATTCTAAAAATTATCAATTATTGTTTCACCAAAAACCGTGTTTAGGGTCTTGAACAGTGAGAATCAAGAAGTTAAGTGTTGATATTGTATTTCTCTATAACTGTATGGCAAGATGCCACGGGAAGAATAGGGGATGTTGGGTGTGATAGAGTGGACCAGGACATCATGTAGGAAACGATCCCTTTGGAATGCTGAAAACAGATGGGGAGAAAGATTTGTTTGGCGTCACACTAGAGATGGTAGAAGTTGACCTGTACTGAATGTGGAGGCTGGTTGGATGAAAATGAGGATACTGAGAACTCTCTTATAGTTCTGAGAAGAGAAGGGACAAGAGCAAGAGTACAGGGAATGAACAGACACAATCAAGGGCCCTATCCAAAACAGTAGAGGGGGTCGCCAGTAAAATAAAAAGCACTACAGAAGCACTAGTGGAAAGTTAATGAACCAAATGAAAATTATCTTTACAGTGATGAAGGTGAAGATGTGGTTCATAAGCATTGTATTGGATGAAGCAGAAGGGAAGAATCGGCAGGTTCCTGTTGATTATCATTTCAGAATTATCTAAATAACAATTGATGGTAAAGGGAATAATTATGGGGTGGGGATCAATCTTTTTGCAGATCAAGATCAAGGGAACGCCGTCGACATCGATCCAGGTCTGCATCCCATGACCGACGCAAACGTTCCCGCTCTAGATCAAGGGACCGGCGTCGCCGACACAAGTCTCGATCTGGAAGCAGAAGCAGAAGCCGCAGTCACCACCGCAGCAGGCATAGCTCAAGAGACAGAGAGCGAGAGAGAGACCGGAGCAGAGAGAAAAGCTCCAAAAGAAAGTATGTAGCTTAATGTTATAGATTAGCTCGTCAGTATGTCTGAGATTAATTAATATAGTATAAATCTGACATTTCCATCTTGTATATAAAATTTGTTTGTTGCAATTAAACAACCACATCAGAAGAACTTCTTATTTCTCCTATGGAAAATGATCACTTTAACAATGTTAAATATTAATCCCACATGAAAGCAATCTTTTATGAAAACTTTCAGTTCTGACCAGCTTTGTTGTTCAACTCCTTTCTTTTTAAACTGATTCTGGATACTACTTTTTTATTTCAGACTTGGAAGTGTATGCAAAAGGTATCAATAGTAATTTAAGACATAAGTAAATGTCTTAATAATTAGCAAAGGTTCTCTGTAAATCATTTCATATAGTTACTATGGCATTTTTAGTCACTCTTTGATCTTCCCTCTATTTGGATTCACTTCTGTTTTGTTTTCCTGACCAAATCAGTTATTTATTCTCTAGAAACCTATTATTCTCACATAGGTAACCCACTGCTTCAATCCTTGTCCATTAGGGTGACTCTCTTTCCCTTCCATTACCGCACAATTTGTTTCAGAACATCTTAGCATACTACTGGAATTTAATATCCTAAAATGAGACAATCAACAGAGTAGGTTAACTTCATACTGCTTGTCTAGCTGAGGCTACCTAATTGTTAGAAATAATCTTCCATATCAAGAATGGGTAGAATAACTCTCAACCATCCATTGATGAGAATAACAACCTCAAGGCTCAGTTCTTCAGCTAACCAAACTATTGGTCATCAGCTGCACCTTGGATATGGTGGAACTTTGGGAGTTGTCTCCAGCTTTTCCAAAGAACTAATGGCTGTTTCCTATTGAGAACTGGTACTGCAATATATGCATAGAACTCATAGAATTCCTACAGTGTGGAAACAGGCCCTTCGGCCCAACAAGTCCACACCGACCCTCAAAGCATCCCACCCAGACCCTTTGCCCTATAACCCACCTAGTCTACACATCCCTGAACACTTTGCCCTATAACCCACCTAGTCTACACATCCCTGAACACAATGGGCAATTTAGCATGGCCAATCCATCTAGCCTGCACTTCTTTGGACTGTGGGAGGAAACCGGAGCACCCGGAGGAGACCCACACAGACATGGGGAGAATGTGCAAACCCCACACAGACAGTGGCTCGGCGATGGAATCGAACCCGGGTCCCTGGCGCTGTGAGGCAGCAGTGCTGACCATTGAGCCACCATGCCACCCCTACCACTGAGGACGAGGAGAGACAAAATAAATTCAAAGATGACCGTTCCATTCTCATCCTGCTGTGTGCATGTTTCCCAGTTATAATTTCTTCTCTTCAAATTAGTTTACATTGCAGAATTTATATTTCAAACTGTTTGCTTTGATCGTTAAAGTCAGGAAGCGCCATTGTTTTAGAGTTAGGGTACAAAACCATGCGTAATATAAGCTCCAGAATTATTGATTAAAGTGAAAACTACCCTGAGATTTTCTTAGTGTGCCTTGCAGGACTAATGTCTAGTAAATTGATTATAGAGTTAACTTTGGTAATATGCTAAGCTAAGATTTAAACCATTTTTCTAGGTCACGAGACCGAGACAGATCCAGAGATCGAGACAGAGAAAAATCAAGGGAGAAGGATCGCAGGGAGAAAAAGCGTTCCTATGAGAGTGCTAATGGAAAATCAGAACACAGCTCTGAGGAACGAGAAGCAGGAGAAATCTAACGGACAAAACATTTTTGGAACTGGGGCAGAAGATGTCTTTCTGATTGTTTAACTCAACTAGGGGAGCTCTTGTTTTGTTTTTGGACTTAGAAAAAAAATTCCAGCAGCTAGGTGACTGATAACTTAAAAAAAAATTAGATAGTTGAAAATGTTCAAGATGTTTTGTCAGTTTAACCAACTGGTTTTGAAGGCAGCAGCTGGAGGTGCCTAGAATGTACTGTGTGTGCATGTACCAGTGCTGTAATGCCACAGACATTAGGGTTTCTCCTTCCATTGGCACAAGGTTGCTGTTTAGTTTTGAATAATCAAATAATTTGTTTTGCATTTTTTACAAGTGTGGATCCGAAACCCATGATATTTTCTTTTCTGAAGCCTAAATAAAAAGAAGTGGACCCGGTAGCTTGGGGAGTTACTGCTTTGTCACCAAGCAGTTTCTTATTTGCTTGTTACTGTTGGTTGTGCTGGCTTGCGGTCTTTGATCCTTGTACCTGTGATAGTTTTTACTTCAGAAATTTCCCAAAAATCATAATGTTTGTCCGTGTCAAAGTTTCATTGTTTTTGACAGTGGCAGTGACATTGACTTGCAACTTTTTAGCAAAATCTTTCGGAATTTCTTGCATTTAGATCAGAGAGACAGTCCAAAAGTAACCTAGGTGTTTCTCACCAAAAAAAGTTTCTCTTCTCACACCCAGAAGGAACTCTCCTGTCTCCCTCTGCATCTTCTTTCCATAAAGTTGGTGTGTTTGTTAAATATTAGTCTGACAGAACCTTGATTGTTGTATTCAGTTACAGCCAGAGAAGCCCCCTTGGTTTGGTTGGAGAGAAAAAAAGTTTTATTTTTAATTAACTTATATGGTGGAACAAATTTGCTACCCATTTGTTAAATCACCAAATAGGATTCATGAGGAAAAATGCGACTGCTTCAAATAAACTTGCCCCTTCCTTCACCTTCATTTCACCACCTCTGCCTTTCCATTTATAAACAAAATACAAATTTGATTTGGAAGAATTTTGCCCAAGTATAGATCTGATTGTGCACCAAGACATTTTTGTAAACTAGAATCCTAAATTGCCAAGTTTTTGGCGATTTTGTCTGTATCTGTACCTTTTAGTATAATTAAAGGGGCTTGGTTTTATTCTTGCAGTTGCTGTGGAAGCTCAGATTGAAAGGGTCCAAAACTGGAGTTAATGTGGCTTCAGTAGCTATTTAGGACTGTGTCCAGAAACACCATCAAGAAAAGACTTTACTGGCTTTGTGTGCATGTAATCCCAAAAAAAAACTTCAGCATGTCTTCAGCACACCTCTGGAATACGATACACATCCCTGTTATTTTTGAGTTTTACTCATGAACTTTTTATTTTTTGACAGTGAAATCATGCCCGTAAATAATGTTTAGTGCTCATTATTCACACAAAAATGATTCATTGTTTACCCAAGGAACAGAAAACAATTTTCCGCACATTAAAAACAATTAATGGGTATTGTTTTGTAGGAGTTGAGAATCCTGGGATTTTTACATGCTTGTGCATACATGGCATACTCCAGGCAGCTTTAAGGTGTTGTCTGTGGCAGGCACCAGGGTGTCACAGATCTAAAATATACCAATGTATTCCATGATGATTATATCGCTCATTTTTGTTTGTCAATTGTGGTCATCCCACAATTACTGTGATTTTTTTTTTAAGTGGTCAGCTTTACTTTGAAAAACTGACTTCTGTTCTGTAAGAATAGTCCAGTGTGATGTTCCTTAGTATCCTTAGCAGCATTATTTTTCTGCATTAGGTACTTTGGTTACTAGCTGTTACACTGCTTGCCCCATCACTTACTAAGTCCTCAATGGTCATTTGGTCAGAGATTTCTGAGTCTACAAGTTAAGACCCAAATAACAAGGTTTTATTTTATTCCCCTTTAATCACTTTTCCTTACATGATTTCTTGTCTATACTTTATATTGTTAATTGAAAACAATTGAAATAAATTTTCTGAAAACCATTTAATAAGATTTTCAAACAATTTAAGTTTTCCTGTGTTGTATCAAATTGTGATGAATACTTGTTTGCTACTTTGCAATTAAAACAAACTGATATTGTCTTCCTCTGCTGACTTGGTGAGTCTGTTGGAACCTTTGGCCACTTGTGCCTTGTTCTATTCCACTAATGAGGTGCAATGCTGGTTCCATGGTTAATTCTACTCGTTGCAAGTGGTAAACTTGTTCTTGCAGAGTTAAGATGCGTAACAGAAATGCATTTGTTTTGCTTTCCCTGGGGTTGAACTGGTTTATTTTTTTTTAAACTGAGCACACTCCATTTTAATTGCTATTATAAAGAATGACTATTCAAGCCTCATATGGTATAATGGCAACATTCATAACCTGATATGAGGGCCCAAGCACTACTGATGCAATCCAAAAAAAAACCTAGAAAACCTAAAATGGAGTTTAAGAAAAAGAAAACTGGCTTATTTTGCAATCAGTGAATATAGCCTGTCTTTTTACTAGACCATATCATCACTGAAATGTGTGTCAAGTTCAGTCTCGGTCGACCTCAGAAGCTTGAAGATTTTCTTGAGATGCTCCTTTGTGCCTTCCTCCTACAATTAATATTATTGTACTTCCAATAGACAATGTAGTTTCTATCTTATTTGTTGATAAATCTATCTGTGCAGTGGTAGCCTTACATTCTTATTTCCCTGAATCGGAAACTTGAAGTCAACTTATGCTAGTTAATTTTATTGCTGGGCATTCAAGTGATGCATCGTGTGGATTTGACTGAAATCCACTTGTACTTGGATGTGAGCTGTCCCAGGTTAAGCCTGTTCATAATTAGTAACAATTTAGAAGGAATTGTATGTTTTTCTTGCAAGAGACCTCAACAGTTTCCAGTTTGAGAAAGAGAAGTATCTTTAATTGATTATGATTTAACCACAGTGACTTGAGAATTGGAGTATACTCTGGAATCTTCAGACCAACTTAACTGTTCCAACTATTTAGTGAAAGTAGACAGTCTCTGAAGAATGCAAGTGCCCAGTTTCTTGAATTATGCTATAGGTGGTCCCCAGAACAGTAGTTCTGACTAATCCTATGTGATAATCCCAGGTGTGTTTTGCAGTTAGCTTAAAAAATAACACAAACAGCATTTGGGACTGTCAGTGTTTGTAAACTTTCAGGCATATTTCACTGGAATTGCAAGGAACAAATATATTGTCCTGTATTAAAAACATAAGAAATGGGAGCAGGGGGTAGGCCATTTGGCCCATTGGGCCTGCTGTGCCTTTCAAGAAGATCATGGCTGATCTTTTTGTGGACTCGGCTCTACTTAGCCACCTGCTCACCATAACCCTTAATTACTTTACTGTTCAAAAATCTATGCATCTTTGCTTAAAAGCATTCTAAGAGGTAGCTTCAACTGCTTTACTGGGTGAAGAAGTTCCTCCTCAACTCAGTCAGAAGTTAAGCTGACGGGCCTATAGTTTACCTGCCTTTTGTCTACCTTTTTTAAACAATGACGTCACATTTGTTTTTGGTAAATTACCACGAGCACGTTTGCTATTTTCCCCCATCATCGCTTTTAGTACCCTGGAATGCATTCCATCAGGCCTGGGAGACTTGTCTACTTTTAGCCCTACTACCTTACCCAACACTACCTCTTTAGTGATAATGATCGTTTCTAGGTCCTGCCCTGCTATAGTCTCCCTGTATCAATTATTGACATGTGATTTGTGTCTTCCACTGTGAAGATTGACACAAAATACCAGTTCCATGCCTTGGCCATTTCTTCTTTTCCCATTATTAAATTCTCCTCATCCTCTAAAGAACTAATGTTTACCTTAGCCAATTTTTTCATTTTGTATATTGGTAGAAATTTTTGTTATCTGTTTTTTATATTCTGAGCTAGTTTACTCTCTTAGTCTCTTTATAGCTTTTTTCGTGGCTTCCTGTTGACCTTTTGAAGGTTTCCCAATCCCCTAGTTTCCCACTAATCTTTGCCACTTTTGTATGCATTTGCTTTCAATTTGATACCCTTCTTTTTCCTTAGTAATCCGTGGCTGATTATCCAAATCCTACAGTCCTTCCTTTTCACTGGTATATACTTTTGCTGAGCACTGTGAAAAATCGCTTTCAATGTCCTCCACTGTTCCTCAATTGTCCCATCATAGAGTCTTTGCTCCCAGTCTGTTTTAGTCAACTCCTCCCCTACCCCATTGTAGTCTCCTTTTAAGTACAAGACACTGGTTTTGGATTTTACCTTCTCACCCCTCCATCTGTATTTTAAATTCAACCATACTCTGATTACTCCTTCCAAGAGGATCCCTAACTATGAGGTCATAAGTTATTCTTGTCTTACTACACAAGACCAAATCTAGGATAGCTTGCTCCCTTGTAGGTTCCATTACAGATATATCACGAATACGTTCTGTGAACTTCTCAAGGCTCCCTTGACTAACTTGGTTTGACCAATCAACATGTAGATTAAAATCCCCCAAGATAATTGCTGTACCATTTTTATGTGCATCAATTATTTCTTTATCGCCTGCCCACCATGATGTTATTTTTTGGTGGCCTGTAGACTATGCCTATCAGTGACTATTTCCTTACTATTTCTAATTTTCACCCATACTGATTCAACCTTTTTCTCCATAGAACCTATATCATCTCTCACTACCACCCTAATGTCATCCTTAAATATCAGAGCTACACCGCCTTCCTGTTCTTCCTGTCTGTCCTTCTGAATAGTCTGATACCCCATTCAGACCTTTTGAATGAAGTGCACTGGTTATCACGTCTGTTTTCTGTGAATGATTTTTTGTGACTGCAGTACAGTGGAAGACATTGATAATGATGCTGTAACAAAGCACTCTCTCAAAAAGTTTACAGAGTGACAGTTATCATTTTGCAGCCACTGTTATATTTTCTGGGGGAATTGTCTGAACTGTGCTGCAGTTTCAAAGGAATTATCTCGTGTCAATGAAGCTTATCACAATGCAAAAGTCAAAATTTAAACATACCTCAGAAAAAAAGGTCTACTGCCTTGAAAGTGAAACAAGAAAAGGGATGTCTCTCGATATGACTGGTTATCTTATTTCATTACAAGACTAAGTGAGCTTTTCATACATAATTCCCAAAAATTGAGCTGCAGGTGATCTGCATTCGGTAACAAAACACTAGTTTCTATCAATCGTAATTACGGCTTAGGAAATGACAATAAGCTCTTTCACAAGTAGACTTAAACCTGGCTGTACAAACCGATGGATCAGTATTCAACTGCAACTGCAAAATGTTTTATTTGCAACAAGAAATTTATTCTAAGTACATTTAGAACATTATTTGGCTGAGTTAATTAATGTTTCTGGCATCTTGCAAATTGCAGGTGTGCCTTCAGTTTCACTAATCAGGTCAAATTCAAGTCTCTCAACAGACTGGAAGTGATCCACGTAAGATGTTTGAAATTGATACAACCCCACCTCTCAAGAAACATAGTTGTCAGCCTTGGCAGAATGTTCCCATCACTGAAAGAGAGGAAGATGCATGTGAACAGTATCTGACATAAAATGCAAGTCAAATTCAACAAATATCAAACCTTACTTGTTTATTCCTGAAAGATATTTAGTGAAAGCTTTTCATTTTGGGACAGTTTGCAAGAATGCCAATTCAAGGGAAAAGAAACATTTGTATTTTGAAAGAAGAGTGCTGATTGACTGGCAAGTGGACTCTGAATAGTATATGCTTGCCACAGAGAATGTATTTATTAATGATGATTGACAGTTAACTGCCAGGCTTTGTTTTGATTTTAAGCTAACTGACTCTAGATAAGGCATTGTCCTGAGATGTTATCCAGCGAATAGCTGGTTCCTGAGTCTGCATAGAATTAAGCTGATAAGTTTGTCCCAACTGAACAAAATGTATGGCAGCCCTTTGCTGATTCATTTCTTAAGGCTGTGCCTTTAAACCTGCCTGGTTTAAAATGTAAGCAAAGCCTGGCAGTTAACTGTCAATCAAACAGGCAAATTATCCACGTCAATGTCTGTATCAATCAGCCCGCTTGCCGATCAACAGCAGGCTTGCACATTAAAGTTGGTTATTCCTCTAAATTGGTATTGTTGCAAATTGTTCTTTTTGCAAGATAAAAAGCTTTGGCTTTTTTCAGCAACATTCATATTCTAGACAATCAAACAACTATTTATTTACTTGAAACAAAAACAGAAATTGCTGGAGAAGCTCAGCAGGTCTGGCAGCATCTGTGGAGAAAAAGCAGAATTAACATTTCAGATCCAGTGACCTAGTTCTGAAAAAGAGTCTTTGTTTTAAAATGCCAATGCACATAAAAGTAAAAGAGTTTTGTCCTACCCAATACAAATAATATTAAGACAGAATAGTGGGCTCCACTCAAAAATATTCCTGCCATTTCTCCTCGATGTCTCTGTCTCTGAACCTGTTGTGCTTTTCCAGCATTTGCAGTTTGTTTGATATCTGGCAGTCATTTTTGATTTCCTCTCAAAACTAGCTCTTCCACTGAAGAGCTTCTGTTCCAGGAAACCTTTTGGATTTAAAAAGTGCACAGCCTAGAAACATGGGTTGCCTTTTTGGACCAGTTAGAGCTGGTGACTAAATGATTTTTTAAAAAGTGCATTTTCTTCATTCATGTGCAGGGCAAATATCCATTGTTTCTGAACAGATCGCATTGCTGAGCTTTCTTGAGCTGCTGCAGTCCATGGGGTGAAGGTATTCCCAGCATTTTTAGGATTCTGACCCAACAACAATGTCAGTCAGTCAGTCAGTCTGGCTAAAGTATATCTTGGAGGCTACTGAGAGTTTGCAGTGTTCCCATAGTAGAGATTATGACTTTAGGTTCAATCAAGAAAGCCTGGGGCATTGTTACAGAGCGTATAATGGACGGTACACCCTCCAGCTGCATTGTGCTGGTGGAGGGAGTAAGAGTTTAAGATAGTGGATTAACACAAAATGGGGGGAGGAAATTCAACATTTTTAATACCACTGAATCTCAAGTGGAGGTGGCTAGATGGTCTCTTGATAGAAATGGTGACTGCCTGGTACTTGTATGTTACACCTGAGATAACAAGGTGTAGAGCTGGATGAACACAGAAGGCTAAGCAGCAGAGGAGCAGGAAAGCTGATGTTTCGGGCCTAGACCCTTCTTCAGAAAATTTTCTGAATTTTTAAAAAATTTTCTGAAGAAGGTTCGAGGCCCAAAACATCAGCTTTCCTGCTCCTCTGATGCTGTTTGGCCTGCTGTGTCCATCCAGCTCTGCATCTTGTTATCTCAGATTCTCCAGCATCTGCAGTTCCTACTATCTCTGTATGTTACACATGTTGCTTTCTCCTTATTGGATGAACCCTGGATGTTAAGCAGGTGTATCTGAGGAAATATGAACAGTATGCATTTATCAGCAAACATTGCCCAATCTAGCCATATGATCAAATGAAGCTCACCGATTGGAGAGGGTTCAGAAGCGATTCACCAGGATGTTGCCGGGCATGGAAGGTTTGAGTTAGAAAGAAAGGCTGGATAGGCTGTGACTTTTTTCCATTGGAGTGTAGGAGGTTGAGAGGTGACCTTAATAAAGGTTTACAAAATCATGAGTGGCATAGACAGGGTTCATGTCTTTTCCCTAGAATGGGGGATTTCAAGGCTAAGGGACACATTTTAAGGTGAGAGGAGAGTGATTAATTGAAAAGGACATGAGGGGCAAATCTTTTCCACAGGTAGTAGGAACTGCAGATGCTGGAGAATCCGAAACAAC